AATATGGCACATTTGGGGAGCACTATCACACCCATTTGCTCCACAGCCACAATAAGCAATAGTTTTCCATATCTACAACAGAAAAGTCTTACTTGGTGGGGAACTGTGTGTTAATATATTTATTTCACTAACAAACTTAGATGTATATTCTTAGATGTATATTCTCACTTATATGCACTCAAGTGACATTTTTATCCATAGAGGTGGTTCCATTTAATCAAACTGCTGGTGATATTTAAAAAAAAAAAAATTATATACTGAGATTTTAGAAAGCCCCACTCTCCAGAGCCCCATTAAGTAGAATGTTCTGAGGTAATGGAAATGTTCTAGATCTGTGCTGATACGGTAACTACTAGCCACAGGGAGCTTACGAGCACTTGAAATGTGGCAATTGTAAAACTGAATTTTTAATTTTAACTTAAATTGAAATAGCTGCATGTTGTCTAGTGGCTACTGCATTGGACAGCAAGATAACCACCTGCAAGAATTCAAGCTGTTTCACCTGACACAATTCCTCTCTGTTGTTAATAATGTGCTCATGGACTTAGATTTCTTGCATCGTGGATGACAGCCTCTTCTTCCCAGGTCACCCCTCACTTCTTTCCTCAAAGCTCTTCCAACATCACAAATGTCTCCTAAATGAGAAGGCAAGGAAAACAGAGGTAGGGCACACACTACTAGGTATCTTGAGTATTGTGAGGACATAGGCAGCTAGAAGGAGGTTCTACTTCTACCTTTGCACCACCCACACATTGGTCCCAGAATTTTCTAGGCACTGAGTAAGCCTCCTCTGGCCACACTAGCATCCCTTCTGATGAGAAACTTTTATCTTCAGCAACTGAAAAAGGAGCTCATAGACCATCAACCTCAAGTAAACACCTTACAAGAGATTTCAAACAGCCTTCTTATTAAGGGGCATGGAGAAGACTATATTGAGGCTGAAGAAAAGGTACATGTTATTGAGAAGAAACTCAAGCAGTTACTTGAGCAAGTGTGCCAAGATATAACGTCCTTGCAGGGAAGCCAGGTGAGTCCGTGGTGGCTTTTCATTATGAAGGTATCCCATTAGGTACCTCAGCACTGCAGCCTTGCTGTGGGAGGGAGGCCCTAAGCATGTGGTCTGAGTGGAGTGTGGAGACGTGCTCTTTCTACCTGTGTGGTCATTTGTAAAAGGGAGGTAACAATGGCATCTGCCTGTTAATGTGGCTGGAACTAAACCCCTGTCACTGCTGCCTTACCTTTGTGCCAAACATACTTGTGTCCTCACTTATCCCTGTGATAGCACAAGTCCTCTCAACAGTCCTGGGCACACGCTCATGTATCTTCCTTTAAAATGGGATCCAACTCAAATGGCATACCCAATCCATGTGCCGTCCCACAGTCTGTACTTCCTGTCCCGCTGACCACACTGACACCTGCAGCGAGCATGCTGTTCATGGAAACCTCTGGCTGCCGTAGCGTTTTCTATGTGTCTTTAGTAATGCAAGTGATTGGCCTTACCTTGTTTCCTTTTGTCTAAAAATGTCCCCATTAGAGTGGCAGCGAGAGCAATAAAAGAGCCTCCTCTTCAAGAAAGATTTGAATTGGGGTAAGGAGAGGAGAGCACAGAAAAAAACCTGCAGGAAGCATGTTTTTGTGCTCTTGAGACTATTCAGAACTTTCCGTTCCCTCAAACTGACCCTTGGTGTGTGGATTTCAGAACCCAGACCCATCTCTGCCTGGCCTTGATGAGGTGGACTCTGGCGCCCAGCCTCCAGCAGCATCCCTGCCAGCTCCCCAAATGAAGGTGAGAAAACATGGGTTATTTCTTAAAGTTTATGGAGTTGCCAGGAAATTGGGACTCCAAAACCCCACTACACATTTTATAATAGCACAGCTGTTTCAACATGCTGGTCAGGCAAGAGGTTTACGCTAAAGAAAAAAAAAAACCCTAAGGACTAAAATACACCTTTTAGACACCTACCCCAAGGGTGTCTTCTACTAGTGGCTCTTCTTCTGGGGCTACAGTAGTATGGGGAAGATGGGAGTCCTTCCTTCCAGCATGCTGAAGGGGCTTCCTGAGCTCTTCATGAAAAATAGATTGACAAACTGGAGTGTGAAATTCATCATTTCTTACCTCAGAGTTCACTCAAATGTATTACTCTAATTTCAAAACTAGTCAGGAAGACCACCTGGGAAGTTTATCTTTCGCTATCTTCAACTAACTGGATTATTTTTCTTTCTCAGGAATTCGGAACAGTGAGGAATATGAAAGGCAAGAACAAGACAGACAGCAGGTGAGTTCCCCCCTGAGCCACACGCACCTCACCCGTCCTGCCAAGACACTATCGAGGTCCTTGTAAAAACTTTTCTTTCATCTAGAAAAGGCCTGGGCTTCTCTCCTAAAACTGAACCCCAGCAGTTGCCTCACTTTTTTCTCAGGTCCTAGGTGTCTTTTACTGAAAGCAGGGGGTCAGGCAGGAGAGTAGGTTTTGCCTCCAGAACCTACCACTGACCTCTCCACCTCCCCTGTTAGCAGGGTACCTGGCCCCACTGGCCACAGCAGCTTGCAGCCTCAGCGCTCCTTCCTCTCCCGGGTGATAAGGGCGGCGCTGCCCCTGCAACTGCTCCTCCTGCTGCTGCTGCTCCTCGCCTGCCTGCTGCCCTCCTCCGAAGAAGACTACAGCTGCACTCAGGCCAACAACTTCGCCAGGTCCTTCTACCCCATGCTGAGGTATACCAACGGGCCACCGCCCACATAGAGGGCTCAGCACTCCACCTCCAGCCTGTCTACCAATGCCCAGCTCACGGCCCAGGGCCCAGCGTCAGTGACTCTGGGCCTTGGCACAGTCCAGGGTCCTGCTGTGGACACCTCCTCCTGGGCTTGGCTCTCAGGACCCAGGGCAGCTTTCAAAGGCTGCTCTGCCTCCAGGGGAGGGAACCTGTCCAACAGTTGCCCAGAGCATTCTGGCAAAATTGATTGGTTTCAGGATCTCTGTTAACTGCAATTTCCTGAAAAGCCAAGCACTTTGTGAATTGATTTATTTGTAAAAGATTAAAATGTAGCTAATATGGTCAATGAACAGTAGTGTTCATCACCTAATACATATTATAGAAAAAGCTAGCAGATTCCACCTTAGAAATGGTTCTGAAACTCATACTCACCCTTAGCTGATTGATTGAAACAATCATATTTAAAATGTTTAGAATTAATTTTATTCCAATCAGCTAGCAATCTGGAGCTGAGGGTTAAAAACCAAACATTCTGTTCAGTACTTCAGTCTGCTTTTATACTGCTTTAAATTTTTAAAGAAATTATATTGCATGGATGTGGTTATTTGTGCATATTTTTTAACAGCGCTAAATCTGTATGAATAATGTAAACCTCAATTTTTTTAAAAAATCAGATTTTAGCTTGAGCTTTTGACTAATGTACAGTAAATGCCAAACTATAGACTTGATAGCAATGTTTTTTGTAAGTTAATTTTATAAGACTTTTCACATTTAAAGTAATGCTTCAGGTTTTGTTTAACTGTTTGGCAATGGGGGAGGGGGGCACAGAAACTTGAAGCTGTTTGTGGTCTGTTCAACTCAGATGTTTCTCATTAAAACAAAAAAGTAGCCATACTTTTGCTGTACTGGATTATATTTTAAAGTTAAAGGGCATGTATAATTTTCCATAGAATGAAAATTAAAATATTGGGGATTCATTCACTTTTTCTGTACAAAGTAAAATAAGTAGACTATAAAAACTTAAGCGCTAGAAACCCACGGCCTATACGTGTAGGGGCCATGAGAGCGAAATGGCATGGAAGGTGGACCCAGGGTCATTTCACCTGGATTTTTCTATTCCCAGCTTGCTCCAGAATGAACTAGCAGAGATTGTGTAGTAAATGTTATAGGCAAAACTACCTGCTTTCTGTACAATTCTAATACATGGTCTATTTGCCACCAAAGTTACTGAACCAGATCATCAGTTAACTGCTCCTCTCTTTTAACACTAAAAATACACCCTGACCAAACAGCATCCTCAGTTCCCCTCTCCTCAGCAAAGCACAAACCTCAGGGGAAGCTCCTCAGCGAATGAAGCCTAGGCCCTCAGTGCCAGTGGCCCTTCCTTGGGGCCGACAACCCCAGCTTGTTTGGTTCATGAGCAGCATCACGCGGAGGGACCAGCAGGGAGGAATGTGTCTTCACTTTACCTTCAGTATCTAAAGTTACAAATTGTTAGAAATTATCTTAAAAGGTACTTTTTTAGCAAGTATCTTCAAAGGCATTCAAAATAATTTCTCCCTTTTCACAAAAAACAATCCCAAAGGGAAATTTCAGCAAAAATGTTACCCAAACTTTTTCTTCAAGCCTCTGAATCAGTGGGAAGGTCCTTGCTCCAGTTTCTCCAGAGGCGAAAGGCAGAATCTCTATCTTCCAGTCCAAAGGAGTGATCATTCAAGACTCTTTCTGCCCTTAAAGGAGAATGAATCTCTAGAGTAAATCAAAGTTGCAGTGCAAGGATTATTTGCATTTTTAATCCTCATTATGCCAACAGTTCTAGAGTAAAGGCTTTTTGTCTTGAGCCTGTAGTCCAGGCTTCTGCCACCCTCCCCTCAACCCCAGGAAGTGCTTTTACATTGTTAGAAGGTTTTTCATCTTCTGTCCCTCATGCAGAAGGGAAATTTTCACATGATGCTTGACATCAAGGTAACTCCAGTATATTTTTCTCTGTATGCCTGATGGGATATCATAGTAATAGGCTCAGAAAATTACACAAAATCTACCCAAAAAATTATGCACTACATACCAGGACTTTTATATTTGTAGGCTACAATTTGAGCACAGTGCCTGTAGTCATAAATCACAAGTGTGAGATTAGCTGACTTTAATTGCTGCTGTTTACAAATCCTTCCGCAGCTTATGTCAGATTCTTAACTCTTGACATTGTAGACAATAGTGTGTGTGTCTTTTTCTAGGAAGAGTGTCCAAGGTTTTCATCAAATTCTTGAAGGACTCTACAAACCTAAAATAGAATTCAGAACAGCGCAAGAACATTGACTACTTTACCCGGTTACTGCAACTTCTTAATCTTATTCTTAACTCCCAACAAATACACTTTTTAAAGCAAAATTATGAAAAACACTTTATTTAGCTTATTCCACATTAAAATTTTTTCTGCAACAGTTCCATAGATGTTGAAGGTATACAGCACAGAAATAGTAGTACTTGGAGGGATGGAAAGTGGATCTCAAAACCTGCTTTCACACAATAGCAAACAGTCATTTGTATAAAAGCTCAAATTTTAAAAGCCTGCTTTTGGTATAAAGCATTCATCCAAAAAAAATTACAAATCATAGGTAGCCACCAAGCTCTAGAGTACATAGGACCACTGAATAATAAAGTTATAGGACCGTTAATTGTGGCATATGGACACCCAACACTGGAAGAAAAAATGCAGCCACATGGATTGTGCAGATAAACAGGAGTTGCTCTGGGCCAGCATCATCATCACACCTCTGCCCTTCCCATAAAGAAAACTCGCCATCACAGAACAGTGGTCCCACCAGTGTATAGGATCCTTGACTCCAAAACAAAAATGACTGTAAGAAGATCATATATCACAGAGACAACACATAGCTACAACCTGCCACAGGAGCCAAAATCCCAGCAACTTTGGAGCTATAAAAAATAAGTGGCATGTGTTTCACACTATAGTATACCAGACTCCACAGGGAGGTGTCAATGCATAAAAGGGGGTGAGAATTTTACAGGGGTACATTTCTAAAGAACTTACCCCACTTCAGAGCATCTAGGGAAGCAGTAACTGACAGAAGGAGGTGGCGGCACTAGCTGATGAGCCTAGAATAGGAGGACTGGAGTGTCACCATTCATCTGTTTCTTTCTGCCTGTTCTGGAAAGGTTCATGCAGTCCTATAGAAGCTGAGAAGGTGGTAGCTAAAGGAACCATAGAAAACAACCATAGCTTAACAGTCTCTCTGCTGTACCCTGAGCCTTGGCTGCAAACAGCGGACTCTCACGGCCAGTTCTGTGGCAGGAAAAGTGCTGGCCAGGCAGGCTCCGTTACTGTGTCTACGGGGCATGTTCCCCATCAAACTAGAGCAGCCATTTGGGTCATTGAATTTGAGGGATTCTGCAGTCTAAATGTATATATTTAACCAGTTAAACTGCCTGATTACTTTCAGCACTGAACTTCAACTGCCTGTGTTCAGCTCTGTCACTTACTCCCCATATGACCTTGAGCAAGTTTGCTTCTACTCCTCTCATTTCCCACGGCCAGAAAATTAGGATTAAAGTAGTTACTTAAAGCACTAAATATGAGTGTATGAGGCACTGAGAACTGTGCATATCATATAACAAGTGCCCCACAAATGTTTTCAGGTACTAAATGATGTTTTTATCATTTCCTTCACATAGCCTTTATTCCAGTTTTTAAAGATTTTAGCAGCTTTGAAAGAAATGTGTGAAATCTTAAAAATATTTTGTTTCAAAATAGACTTAGAAATTGAAGGTTCACCATGAACTTGAGGTGTCTATACATGCAAACCCCTTACCAGATTTAAATAAGAACCAAATTTTGTTGGTAGAAAGTGCCTCAACTTAAAAGTGCTTCAACTTATTTTATATATGTGTGTAATATGTAGCTCTGCCAAGAATTGGTTACTGGTTTTTTGTTTTGTTTTTTCACTAAAATCTAAAATAATTGCCCTTCCAGCTGAGTTAGCAGGGGAAATATTTAAGATAAAGTCTCTCACTCGGGAGAATTTTTGTTAATTTGTATTGTACTGTTTTTAATACAGTTGAGGCCCTCCAGATATATTAGTCTGACAGCTTAATACTATGTTCCCACCTCAATTTTTTCATGAAAAATCCCCAAGATTGTTAGGACTGAATCCCCTGTGAACAGCGAGTATGTGACGGAGCTGAGACCAGATCAGGAACATGGCAAAGATCAGGGGACACCCAGTTAGACCCACGACCTGACACTCACTGTGCACCTCACTCTGGGATGACCCATGAGGGTCCTCCCAGCACCTGAGTGAACACTCTTCCAATGTCCTTTTGGCAGAGCAGCAGCTCTCCCGCCCACCTGTGACTATGCAGGTGCCACTCTTTCTCTTTTCCCAGTGTTCTCAATATTAAGACTCTTCCACGGTAACTTACTTTACTAAAGTTTGTCCATATGCCCCCATATTAGACACTCATGTTTTTGGAATTAAGCCCAAATCTCCATCATCTTCTACAAATAAGTTTCCCTTATTAAATGATAAATCAAGATTGAGAAAAGGAATCTCGCCACAAGAGTGAGAAGCAAAAACAAAAATCACTTTTTCCTAGCACATAAAGCATAGTTCGATGTTTTGGGCTTTTTTTTTTTTTTCCCCCATATTCAAGTCCTGCTGATAGTTGTCAGGTTTATTGTTCCTAATTAATTCCTGAACTGAACTTGAAAGTTCAGTGCAAAACTGTACTTGAAAATACTGAAATCACTGCAGTAGCCATGGGGCAATTTTAAATTGTCCATGGACCATTTTTGACAACCTCCAAAAGGAAGCCTATTAAAGAGAAATGACTAATCTTTAAAATAAACACCGAGACTTTATCCAAAATACCCAAAAATGGCAGCCTGACTTTGCACGCTGCTGGCATTTATAAAGGCTGTACTTGGAACTGATGGGCATGGAGGTGTACAGCACTTCATCTCAAGGGAGGGAGGGAAGGACGTAGGCTATTCTCAACAATACAAAGAATATCTTTGTTATCTCAACTGCTCACTTGTCTTAGACCCTGGTCTAAGCAACAGCCTTGCACAGAAGACCCTCCCAGGGTAGACTAAACTGCCAGCATATCAGGTGACACATGAGCCAAGATGAAATCACCAAAGTGCCACAGCCTCCTTGCTGGCTAAATTCAAGTGTAGTTAGACAAGTAGCCTTGGGAAGCACGCAGGAAATATTTGAGGAAGATGAGAAGCACACACTGGATGTGTTTTCACAGAGAGCAGGCACTAGTCCAGATAGGCAAGGATTTAGCATAGAAAGGTGCTTGGACACCTGAGCCCAAACTCGTGCTTACCTTGGGCATCAGAATCCAACTTAACTACTGCATAATAAGCCACTGCATCATTTGGTTTCATTTTTTGTTTTTCTGACTTGTGTAGTCTCCTGTATAAATAGTTAATAGCATTACATCAGCAAATAAATGTTCAAAGCTGCCTTCTTTGCCCCACTTCCCACTTCCTAGCCTCGCATTCCCTCTGTTTGTCACATGGGATTCTAAGGTGGCCAGAAAGAAGGAAAGTTGACCTTCTGGATAATACTGATTCCTATAAAATCAAGCTTATACTTTCTGTACCAAATCTCACAAAGGCCACAACAATGAGTCACTAAGAACTTCAAACCACCTCAGAATATAGACAATGGTGTGTCCTCTAGGCCTGTCTCCAAGTATTTCTGAAACAGCTTCACTCAACTTTTAGTAAAATTGCACCAGTGTCAAAGTTAAGAATTCTTCAAGGTCTCATTAGCAGGAACCACTTTGAATTTAATCTTTCTAATGACTTAGTAAATAGAGAATGTGCTATCCAAAGTAAACGTACTTTTGAAAAGAAAATTTATTTCATCTCCTCTCAAAAGGCAATTTTTAAAAACACTATCATAAAACTCACCTCCAAAGTCTAGATATAACTCATTATATGCATCACAATGTTCCTGAAAATTTGTATGAGGATTTCACTCTCTAAAAAGTTGTAATTTCTTGCCCTATTTATGTTCCACTTGGAAAAAGAGCTAATATTTTACTCAGTTTCTGTATCAGCCAGCTCACCATAAAAATGTTCTAATAAGAAAATATTTTTAAAAAGCCCTAGGGTATAAAAGAATTCTTTCTGCTTTAAATAATTACCCCTATATATTTTCTCAAGTAGACTTCACAAACCAGGTCTCATTCAAGTGTTGAACTAACCAAGTCACACAGATTGGCCCTGAACCTGACATACTGGCTTCCATGGAGAGCGTCCCCACACACAGCCTGCAGTGTCCCATCTCCCGTGGATGGCTGATGTGACAGCTGCCCCAGGGAAGAGACACTCTCAGAAGAGAGCCTGTTCTACACTGAACCTTTCTTGAACACACACAAGGCCCCTCGGGACAAGAGCATTCTAAGAAAGTGAAATTCCAGGGACAGGAAGATATAAGTCTCCACAATCTTCCATGAAAGTGATCTCACACACACAATTTTCAGGCCCTATGAATGCAATTTAAGGGGAATGAGTCTGTGTGACGATGGCAACAAGGTCTAGGGAAAGAGCTGGCTCATGTCCCAGCTCGACCACTGGCTCCTAGGTCACCATTCCTCTGGCCCTCAGCAGAGTAGTAGCAATCTATGACCTCAGTCCTCACAGACCTGTGAGGCAGGTATGCGAAATTAGTAAATTGATTGTCATCATGCTTTTCAATCCTACAATCAAGTGGTGCCAAAGAAGGGCCGCTTATGTCACAATAAAGGGGTGTCCCTTCCTGTGAGAGTGCCACATTCAGCCCCCGTCTACTTTATAACCCTTCCAACTCGGATGTCCACCACTCTCTCAGGTGTTTCCCAAAGGAATGCAAGGGAGATGGAAAGGAAGGGTCCACACTGAGACCCCGCGGACCAAGCAAGACAGAAACTGCATTCAAGCACACCCCGGTCACAAGGAAGTCTGGCCTTCTCACCTTGACTCCTGGGAAGTGGGGAGGTCGAGAGAAGGACAGCACCTGACCAAGTCCGCCATAAGCAAAGGAGGGACACGGTAGAAGGAAGCCCACCCACTCCCTCTGGGGCTCACGATTCACGCTGTTGTCATGCTTCAGCCTCTGATCTCTGCAGCTGGTTCACCTCAGGGCTGGGCATCACTGAAACTGGGGGTTCTGGAAGCCCTCTTTGCTCTTACTCTCCTCTGCTGGGATGCCCCCAGACCCTGCGACGGAGGACTTGGACCCTCGAAGTGTGTGGGCATTCAGCATCTCCAGCAGCAGGTCGTAGACAGGGACGACGTTTTTGCACTTCATGCTGAGTAGGTGTTCCATGCCCTTGTTACTACGGGGGCAAAAAAGTGCTGAGAGAAGCAGCCCTGGGAACTTGATTTCTTCCCCAACTCACCCACACATAGCACATCCATCCCCAATTCCCAACAGCCCATGCATCTCCCCCAGCCCTTTGGTTCAATGGCATCTGGCCCCTTCAATCATCTACACCCCCCACCTACTGTGGCCTGACAGCACCTGGCACAGTGCAATGGATTCTCACTGTTCACACTAGTTAGTGTTATAAATTTAATACAAAGACGGAATTAACAAATACTGAAGCATTACTCCTGGGGGAAACACCAGGTTCACTTCCGAAGAGGTCTGGTCACAATTTTTATCAGTTGATTAATATACACCCTTATAGAGTAATGTGCAACCTGTTTTCTTTAAAGACCCCTTATTGAACATATTTCATTGATCAATTAACATTCAATTCACAGCCTAGATGTACGTATGTACATACACACACACACACCCCCACCATGCCTGGATGAAGCTTATCCAACACATATTTCTCCACGAGGCCCATCATATCCTTGTTCTCTTAGGAAAAACAGACAGCACTGTGCTTGCGGGGGGCCGTTTTTAAACAGTAATATTTCTAAGACAGCACAAAAATGTAAAAACAAGCAGTAAGGGACATATGATGAGAACCGAAACAAGACAGGCATCAGCTCATTTGCCCTCAGCTGAGGATGCAAGCATGGGTAACTGAAGTTTTTCGCCAATCTGTGACTGTACAAGAATGACCTCAAAAGAGAGTATAGCCCAAAAATAGATGACTGGATCAAGAAGATGTGGTACATATACACCATGGAATATTACTCAGCATTCAAAAAAGATAAACACATGCAATTTGCAGCAACATAGATGGCGCTGGAAGGGATCATGCTCAGCGAAATAAGCCAGAAAGAAAAAGAAAAATACTGGATGGTCTCACTCATAGCAGGAATCTAGAAAACTTAAATAAGGGACCAGGAAAATGAATATCTATAAGAAAGTGAAAATCATAATCAACAAACAACTATGAACCAGAGACACTTTATGAGGGGAGGGGGCGGGGGGGAGGGATTGGGGTCAAAAATAAAGGGTTGCAATTGTTTGGGGAATATAAAAATAAAATTAAAAAAAAAGAGTAGGGTTATAAATTTTATAAGTAAGCAAATTTACAAATATGAGATCCAAAAATAGGATGGACTGTCTGGTCTACAAGTGGTTGTGTGCTGAAGAGTCATTAAAAAGGAAACTGGCAGAGGTCATTTTTTTATTTGATCCCCCTCATTGAAATTCTTGAAGTGTATGTTGTCTTCCGTTCAGTCCCTAAGACTTTCCTCCTCAGGGGAGCAATTATCTTCCATCCTCACCTGCTCATCCAGCCTCAGGGTGGGCTACCCCTGGGGTGACACAGCACTGAGCCTCAGCCTGTGGCCCTGTCGTCACCCTTCATCAGCACCCATAGCTTGCATCTCCTGAATTCACTCCACCTGCCTTCTCAACCTTGGCATCACAGGTCCTCTGAGTCTCATCCTTAATATCCTGAGGCTCTGGCCTTCCTCAGATCACCAGCCTCAGGTGCTGACCCAGGAGAACTGGGTTTAGCCTCTCAGGAAAATGACTCAGGCACCAGCCTGAGGAGCAAAGAGGGGTGGAGTTCACGTCATGCAGGGAGTCACCCCTTTTAGAACTCTGTAAACAAGCTAAAATGCCCAGCAACTAAAAAACAGATGCGCCACCGCAGGATGCCAGGAAGATCTGAAAAGGTGTCACATGACATCATTCACTGTAAACGATGTGCTCAACTTCAATTACAGTCCTTAGGACTGGAAAATCCACACTCCAGCTCAGGGATTCATTTTCCTTCCAAGAGGACAATTCTACCTTATCCATCTCAAACCGACAAATTCTTGTCCCAAAACTCTTCATCCTCCTCTGAGACTGTGCCCCCCCCCACACACACACATGCACATGCACACACGCACCTAGTGGAGCAGGCCCCCAGGGATTGTACCTGGCATGCCTGACATAAGAAGCATCAGCAGATTAGCCAGGCGGATGGACTGCTGCTGGGAAGGGATGCCACTCTTGGCGATCACCCAGACTAGGGCATCGGTCACAGCATTCAGTAAGTGAGTTAGCTTCTGGCTGCTCTCAGCCTCCTGGGGTGCTGCAGTTAATGGGTACATACCTGGACAAAGAATGACAGTCACAGTAGTTGCTCTGAGAAAGGGAAATGGAACTTGTGTGCTCAGGCATTAAGCATGCCTATATTCTCCAGAAGGGAAGCCAAATTGATCTGGGTTGCTCTGACATCTGCATGCGTGGTGAAATGGTAAAAGCACATGTCACCTCCCCATTGTGTCCTTTCCCCAGAACCAGTGTCATCACTGTGCTGGAGGGGAAAGCCTGGCTGAATGCAAGGTAGATTCAATGGCCTCTCCAAGTGCCCATCTGGGCCAGAAGAGTGGCTTTGCAAGGCAGTAAATGCATCTAGCGACCAGAAACCATGGATGGTGTTTGCCAGATACATACATAAGCTTTGCAAAATGCTTCAAATACATAGATAGGATTATCACAAAGTGACAAAGGTTTTACTCTTATCCTCTGTAAGGACCCCTCATCTAAGTGTGGCTAGCCTAAGTACAATTGCTATGCCCATCACCTCATGTGTGCCACGTGCTGACAGCTGTAGTAAGGCCACTGCCACCTCTGTCCAGCCCTTGGCATCCCCCTCTGCTGGCACCCTGATGAGCAGGAAGACTACACATTTGGAGTCAGAAAGACCTGTCTCTAACTCTCCGACCCCATCCCAGTTTACCCAGCTTTGCAGCCTCAGGTCCTCATTTTCAAAGCTTCAAAACACATTTCCTGAGGTCCCCACAACCACTCCATGAGATACGTTGCTCCCCCACCTTTCCTGCATTGTGTCTAGTTTCCCTGTGACTCCAGCTTCTGAGATACACAAACTCCCCATGGTTATAACAAGTAAATCTCCTGTTCCATTCTCTCTATCCCTCCCTTAATCCACCACCCCTCTCATCTACCACTCACCCCTCTTACCGGTGGGTAAGACCTACCACCACCTACCCAGACTCCCTGATGCCTGGAAGCAGGGAAATAATTAGCTTCTCTTCCAGACTTTTGATTTCAAAGTAAGGATAAATAGCAAATATGTGAAATCAACAGGGGAGCTGCCAACTTTTGCCTATAATGAGAATGAAGGGTTGCTGGTACTGCATCATCCATAGAATCTGTTTCGGCAATTTTTGTTCTCCATTTAAAATTGGCATGTTCAGTTCAGTTAAGGTAACTTGGATCAACTGAGTTGAACACAGTTCAATTAAGACAAAGGACATGCTGAACCACAATGATGCAATTTTACTTGTTTGCTATGTCGCTCCATGATGTCTGATGACACACATCTCAAGTATTCATCTTTTACAATAGCCCAGAAGCTACAGTTCTAATCCACCTGCCCATCTCATTCTCCAGTGAGAAACTTCCTGACTCTCCACATTCTCAAACCTCCTATTGATCCTCAGAGTAGATGAACTGCCCTCCCACTGCTGAGGACACAAGTCCTCACGCTTGACCCGGTGTGCCCCTTTCAAGCTGCCCAAATGCAGATCCGTTCACTCATCTTTAACAACTTCCCTGCTCTTTTCATCATCAGCTCACCTTATCTTGAAACATACTTCCAATTCCTTGAATTTGCCCTGTAAGCTGAACTTTCTGCTTAGGAACAAATGCTTGTTGTTTATATCCTTGTTTATATATATCCTTGTTTATATCCCCCTTGTTATTTATATCCTTCCTCCTTTAGATCCCAGCCTGATTATATACTTCCCTCTGGAAGTTTCCCTGATCAGCCTACTACCCCTCCCTAAGTATGATTTGGGCTCACCTCTGAAGCTCTGGCAGGGCTGTGTCCCCAGCAAAGGGTGCTTCATTGTCCAGCATCCTGGAGGTCCACATATAAGCCTCTGGCTCCCTCCCACCCTCAGTGAGACTGGACATAAATGCCTACCGAGGACATGAACTCAGTTTGCTTTTCAACATCTCCCCATCACCTAGTACAATGACTTGTAAACACTCATAAATGGAAAAATTTGAATTCACATAGGTTCAAATTTTTGCATTGTTTTAGCCAATCACATTACCATAATCAAAATGATAATTATACATGTTCATGCACAGGTATGTGGGAAATTATTCAATTGATAGGATAAAAAAATTATCTTAAGCTTATTTTCCCTAAATTGCCCTCAGCTGCATTAGCAAGTGCTTTCTTAACTACCCTTTAATCTGTTCTGCTACCTGACATCTGCTCCATGGACTTCTATGGTCATAAAGAAATACTACATCTTTGGATTGTAATAGGAGACAAAATAGTTTATCAGTATAGTCATACATCACCAAACAATACAGATACATTCTGAGAAATATGTCATTAGATGGTTTTGTTGTTCTGCACTCATATAGTGTAATTACACAAATATAGATGGTAGAGTCTGCAGAACGCAAGCAATAAGGTACCACCCACTGGGACTACAATAACAAAATCAGAGTGTGATTGACCAAAACATTGTGAAGCAACGCATGACTGACGTGTCTCAGTGCAAAGTTTGGAATATTGAAAATAAAGATTTTTATTTTAATTGTCACTAAAATTAAAAATATAAATCGTTGAGCTATATACCGGGTGGTATTCTCAGCAGCATTACTCATAAAAAGCTAAGAGGAAATAAACCAAATACTATGAACTAATGAATGGATAAACAAAATGTGCTATCACCCACAGAGTGGGATATTATTTAGTCATCGAACGGGGAGTACTGAATCATGCTACTACATGAGTAAACACTGAAAACATTATGCTAAGGGGAAAAAGTCAGTCACAAGGTCCAAATTTTGCAAGATTCTATTTATATAAACTTTCCAGAACAGGCAAATCTATGCAGACAGAAAGGAGATTAGTGATTGCCTGGGAGTATGCAGGACAGAGACTATGGAGTAATAGCTATGGAGTACAGGGTTGTGGGGAGGTGATAAAAATATTCTAAAATTGGTTGTGATGATGGTTGCCTAAGTCTATGAATACACTAAAACCCACTGAATTTTATACTGTAAATGTGTGGATTATAACACACTAAATCTGTTAAAAATACATATTAAATCTCAGAACCAAATTATAGTAACAAAAAATCTCCTCGGGCCTCCTGACATCTGAGCAAAACTCCCTTTAGATAAAATGTCTTGGTTCTTGGGTCAGACCTTTTGTAAATGAACATTCACTGTCAAGGGTGCAAGACTGGGATCTTCTATAGCTTATGGGGGCAGCACAGCAGGCTCAGACTCCATCATTGAAAAAAGGTTTAGGGAGAGATGCCACTGTAGTTTGGGAAAGAAATACACTATATCAATTTTAAAAGGGGGAAAGTTTTATATACAAAACTATTAACTTCTATAAAGTCACCTTGGGAAAGAACTAGGCTGATGAACCCCATTTTGCTTACAACACAGACATATCTTTCTCAGTTCCCACCTCTAACCCCTAGAGTTCCCTTCCTCCTTGGCCCTCCACACCAAAGTAGTTCAGGCTCTCACGTTCCCTAATTCTGACTGGCCCCAGGCCTTCTGGTCTCTCTTCTCTCTGTCTTTCACGTAAATGCCGAAGCGACCTTTCACAAAAGCCACTCTATCCAAGACGTGCCCCTGCCTAAACCTCTTCTAGGGTTGCTCAGTGTCCCAAGCAGCAGTTCTCAACCTGGCCAGCCCTGCATTTACAACATTACTCACCTGCTCTGCACTTCTGCTGCACGACTAGCAGCTCCTGGCTCACCCATGTTCCTCCACCTCTTATCCCAGCTAATATCTGCCCACTCCAGAGGACTTAAACATTCCCTTCTGCAACCACTTAAATGTCTCCATTTTCCCATAGTACATCCCACATACTTTATTATAGTACTGAGATCATAATTTTAATGATTTGGACTATCTTTTTTCTCTCCCTTCTGACACTATGAGCTATTTGAGAGAATGATTTTATCTTAAATATCTTTATAAAGTGAAGGAATGAATCTGTAAAAGCAGAATCTAGAACAGTAAATGAAAATGCATAAAGCCACATAAAATGTCTGTATAAACATTGAAAAAATGCTGAAAGGCACATTTTAGTGTTTTTTTTCTTTTCCAATGAAATGACTTAAACCACTTAAAATTACTACCAGTAATTCATCCAATGAATATATTATGTTCAAGTTACCAAAAGTTAATTACATTTAAATTCTTATATATGGAATCAGAAAAATTCATTTTCCCCTTTTTCAATAAAAAGTTCATATTCTTCTTAATGCCATGTAAGTTCTAGAAACAACAACTCTCCCCCATAAAACAGGTCTGTGGTTACTCACTGGAGTTGAGAAGGATCATGGCCTTGACACAGAGATACTCTTTGTGTTGGAGTTTTAACTCACGAAACCTTGAAGTTGTTGCCAGAAGCATGTCAAAGATTTCCAGAATTCCTTCAACACATTTTCCCTCATCCCTACAAAATTTCATTTGGAAATTAAAAAAATATACAGCTCAGGCCACAATCAAAAACAGCAAGGAGTACTTTTTAACCTCAAATTTCATTTTGTATGAACATTCTTTAATTATATGAAGGTAGTTATGAGACCAGATGCAGCGATATGAAATTACTAGAATTACAGTCATAAGAAAAGGACAGGCAGGGCCTCCCCAGTGGCACAGCGGTTGAGCGCTGGGTTACATAGCTGCCCGCGGCCTCTGCGCCGCCGGTTCGATCCCCGGCTGCTCCTGGCCACCGGAGGAGGGTCCCACATGGCGCGTAGACCTCTCCTGCCGCCCGCTGCTCCCCTCAGCAGTGTACGTCGGTCCTTCTGCCTGCTCTGCTCCCCGCTCTGGCTCTGGTGAATTCTCTCACCCTCCCGCGCTTCTGACTGTACCCAGTGCATGTATAAACAAAACAAACAAACAAACAAATAAATAAAAGCATGCCTCTATTAAAAAAAAAAAAGAAAAGGACAGGCATTTCATATATTTCCCTGGAACAAACATTTGAGTAAATACATTTTAGGCAAAAATGTATATTGGAATGACATTTTCCGAGTATTTTCTTAAAGGAATCCCATTTCTGTTGATTATCTACAGTCTTAACCATTTCAATCAAATAGGCCTCAATAAGACACATATTACTAAAATGAGACATTCAATAGGTGTCTGAAGTGTTGATAAAGATGTTACAAAAGTAACTATCCCAAGAAGCTCTAATCCTACATATCTAAGGCTTCACTCTCATTTCCTTATTCAGTCAATGGTGGGGCAACTAAGAGACATTTAAATGTAACCTGAAAAAAGCTAGTATGACAAAGAAATAATAATTAGAGATAGTAGATTAGAATGAGGAAAGGAAGACAGAAATGGAGACATGGAAACTTTTGACTTGCCAAAGGTTATTTTTGGTTTTTTTTCACTGATATATAATTGGCATGTAACATTAATTTCAGGTGTATAACATAATGATTCAGTATTTGTATATAATGTGAAACAATCACAGTAAGTCTAGTTAATCCATCACCACACAGTTACAACTTTTTTCGTATGATGAGAATTTTTAGGATTTACTCTTAGCAACTTTCAAATATAAAATAGAGTATTATTAACTATACTCACCATGCTGTACATTATATTACCTAAAATTATTTTATTACTGGAACTTTGTACCTTCTGAATACCTTCACCATTCCACACACCCACCACCGGCAACTATCAATCTGTTCTCCATATCTATGAGTTTTGTTTTTGTTTTTAGGATTCTTGATATATAAGTGAGATCATACAGTGTTTGCCATTCTCTTACTTCACTTAGCATAATGCCCTCAAGGTCCATCATGTCACAAATGGCAGGATTTCCTTCCTTTTTATGACCCCCCCCCCACACACACACACAATTTCTTTATCCATTCATCCCTCGGTGAAACCTTGGGTTGCTTTCATATCTTGGCTATTGTAAATAATGCTCCAGTGAACATGGGTGAGGATATCTTTTGAGTATTTTTCCTTCAGAAAAATACCTAGATGTAGAGCTATTGGATCATATGGTAGTTCTATTTTAACTGAGGAACCTCCATACTGTTTTCCATAGTGACTATACCAATTTATTAATAAATCCCTCCCAACAGTACACAAAGATTTCCTTTTCTCCACATCCTTGACAACACATTATTTCTTGTCTTTTGGTTATCATAGCCATTTTAACAGGTGTGAGGTGTTATCTTTTTATGATTTTGATTTGCATTTTCCTGGTGACTAGTGATGTTCAGCACCTTTTCGTTTACCCACTTTTCATTAGCCACTTATATGTCTTCCTTGGGAAAATGTCTATTTTGATTTGGACTGATTTTTTTGCTGTTGAGTTATATAAATCATTTATATACTTTGGATATGAATAGCCCTTATCAGATACACGATTTGCAAATATATTCTCCCTTCGATAGAATTGCTTTTTCACCACAAATTGTTTTTAGACAAAAGTTTTAAACAATTTTTGAACCATATAATAAAAATTCTTTTGAGCATGCCTTATAGAAATCAATTTTTAAGTATATTTTTGAAGTAAATTACTTGAATTCTATCTAGAAAATACCAGCTTCCATTCACTCCAATCAGATACATCATTCCATCTCATTGCTCCCAAGAAAACTTTCTATTATCATCAGTCATTAGGTTATCTGAAATCCTTGACAAGCGGTTAGAGGATTTTGCTGTGAAACTTTCACTTGCTTCTAAAAGCCTGCAGTGCACAGTGAAGGACAGGGGTTGCAGCAGGAGTTTTCTCCAAGTTTCATTCTCAGTAACAGCTCCTGCAAGCAAGTTCAGGACCTGAGATCTTCAAAGTCCCCTCATTCCCCCAACCCCAAATCAAGACATTTTTAGTGGTGATGGTGGTGGCTAGGAGAAGTGTCTATGTAGAATTTAAATACACTGACAACCTCTGGATGAAGACTGCAGGTGGTTGCTTTTTGTCAATAACTTGTGTCAATATTATATTACTTGTTACCATGTATATCCTCTTGATAAAAAAAAATTTTAATAGATAAAATTCTGAAAATAGAAAAAAAAATACACTGACAACCAATAATCCTGATGAAGGGCCTCTCTGGTGGCGCAGGGGTCTCAGTGCTATCAAGCTATTGCCAGCCACTGCAGTATGAATTCGATCCCCTGCCAGGGAGCTAACCCACATGGCTCAGCAGACCTCTCCTGTCTAAGTATCACCTGCTGCTCCCCTCAGCAGTGTATTTCAATAGATCAGCCTGTTCTGCTTCCCACTCTGTCTCTGGTGAATCTTCTCATCTCCCCCCACCTCCACCCCCGCCACCCTGCACCTTTGGCCTACACCCCAGTTCTTATATGCATAAATAAAAAAAATCTTTTTTTTTTTAAATAAAAGTAATCCTGAAGAAGCTTTTCCCATCTGATACTGTGCTACGAAGGCAGCTCACCAGGATCCTGTGTTCCAAAGCATTCATACCCCTGCAGACTCAAAGCCACAGGCATGCCAGATACTCACCGTCAAAAAAAAAAAAAAAAAGGCAATTTCTGCAACCAGTTAAGGCTATCTAAAAATCACCAATATAACACCCCAAGAAGTAACTCATAGGAAAAGGCCACCTAGAAGAAACAGAGCCCTAGGTAAAGGGGTCCAAAATCTGTAGAAAACCCCAAATCTCCCCACACCTCTTCTTCCTACCTGCCCTGCCCCAGGGGCACCAGAAACACTTCCTTGAGTGCCCCTCTGGCCAAATCACCAAATCACTCTGAGAATAATTACTAGACACTGTAATTGTTGGGTTTGCAGACATCTGATGCCAAGAAAAACTAGTTGCAAAATGTCTCTGAGGGACAAAAACAAAAAGCCTAGCATGTCCTGCGTGCTAGGTTTCACAGTTTGGCTCTTTACCCAACTGTAAGAAAGAAGTCAGAGGTGAGGTTTTCTGCACACATGTGCACACACACACACACACACACACACACACACACCCCTCCCCAAGTAGCACAGGAAGGGTCTTATATGAAATCAATTCTGTTTCCCAAAGTTGCCACTTTTGCCTAAGAACACGTTCCTAAGTACTAAAATTGGTACTATTTTCTCATTAAAATACATGTCCTTCTTTTTAAATATATGTCCTTTTTAATGCAAATTAATATTTCAAAAATGGAAGGGGAGTTTACATTCTAGAGCATCTTAAACCTTGATAAAATGCTATACCTCACTTTTTTTTAATTTCTTTTTTTTTATAACGATTTATTTATTTATTTATTTATTTATACATGCACTGGGTACAGTCAGAATTGCGGGAGGGTGAGAGAACTCACCAGAGCCAGAGCGGGGAGCAGAGCAGGCAGAAGGACCGAAGTACACTGCTGAGGGGAGCAGCGGGCGGCAGGAGAGGTCTGCGCGCCATGTGGGACCCTCCTCTGGTGGCCGGGGAGCAGCCGGGGATCGAACCAAGGCTGCAGAGGCTGCGGGCAGTTTCGCAACCCAGCGCTCAACTGCTGCGCGACCAGGGAGGCCCTATATCTCACTTTCTCTGCCAGTTCTAAAGAACTAGGTCTGAGGGCCTCCCTGGTGGCGCAGCGGTTGAGTGCTGGGTTGCGAAGCTGCCCATAGCCTCTGCAGCACTCAATCCCCGCCCACTGGGCGAGGGTCCCACATGGCACGCAGACCTTTCCTGCCGCCCGCTGCTCCCCTCAGCAGTGTACTTCGTCAGTCTGCCTGGTCTGTTCCCCGCTCTGGCTCTGGTGAATTCTCTCACCCTCCTGCATTTCTGACTGTACCCAGTGCTTGTATAAATAAATAAAATAAATCTTTAAAAAAAAAAAAAAAAAGAAGAACTAGGTCTGATTGCTTTCTCTAACAGGTGTTAGGACCAACCATTTTATTTAAGGGTGCCAAGGTTAGAACTTTATTCATTTCACAAGCTATAGAAACCAAACACACTTCTAGAAAATATATGAAAACTATAAAAGTGATAGGTACAACCCATAAATGATGCCCTTATAAAGTTCTGCTTTAGGAACAGTTACACAGAACAGAGATAGGAAGAACATTGAAAGAATTAATAACTATTTCATTTATTTTGTAATTATGAAATGAAACTGAACTATGAGTGAGAAATGATAGGATTAAAAGGCTTGAATTAAAGATAAAGGACATACAATTTGAATGTTAAAAATTAAAACAATATATCAATCAAGCTAATCTACTCATAGAAATTTATTTTTGCATATAATTTGTCCATAAACCAGTACTAAATAAAAATAAGAACAAAAATGTAACCCAAAAATTAAAATTAAAAAAAGAATAAAATAAAATGAGCAATTACCTTGGGAAATCATATAACTATCGCTTTATAAAATAAAAATACTCTTATACCAAGAATAAAATGTTCAATGAGTGGGCCTCGCTTTGAGATACACTATTTTGTACCTACACGTGTATCTGCTGGCAGAACACATGTGGCTACAGACAACAGTCTACCTCTGTGCCCGTGACAGCGGGGTAGAGGACTCAAGGCTTCCTAACAAAAAGAATTTAAATACTGAAGTGCAACTGACATGATTATTAAAAATGAAAATTTAGAAGTAAAAATTCTGTGAGTATCCTGAAGAACATTAAGTAACTAGGATGAGAAAACTCAGTACATTCATAATTACATGAGTAATTAACATAAACATCCACAAGGGAATCCAAGCCCAGACCCAAACTTACTCTGACTTGATGCTAAGGATATAGCAGTATCTTAGAACATATGATTTGGGAAGCAAGTAGAAGCTTAAGATTCTGTGGGAGAACTTCATAAATATGTGGTTGCAGAGGTTACCAAAAGAACTAGTTTGGGGCCTTCCCAGTGGCGCAGCGGTTGAGCGCTGGGCTGCGAAGCTGCCGGCAGCCTCTGCAGCGCCAGTTCGATTCCCAGCTTCTGGGCGAGGGTCCCACATGGCGCGCAGACCTCTCCTGCCGTGCCCACTGCTCCCCTCAGCAGTGTACTTCAGTCCTCCTGTTTGTTCTGCTCCCCGCTCTCTGGCTCTAGTGAATCTCTCACCCTCCCACGCTTCTGACTGTACCCAGTGCTTGTATAAATAAATAAATCTTTAAAAAAAAAATTATTAAAAAAAAGAACTAGTTTGTTAGAAATAAGCTGAGATAACTAAATTTTTCCTTTCATCCAAAGTAGGTTCATGTTTTCTTGCAGCACAAAGCTCAACAAGAATAGAGGGAAGCAATCTCGGTAACCGCAAATGGGTTAACTTAATGGTATTCACTGTTCATATGGTCACGTCACCAACTTGACAGTTATTTTCAACTAACATAGAAACTACTCATTCACATTGCAAATACGATTCATTTAAGACCTCCTTTACAGGGCATGATCCCTGACCTTTCAAGTAACATTTTTTAAGTAACTTCTCCCATTATAAAAGCATATTTACCTGTATAATAAATGCACTAAGAATCTTAGGCTTGAAATTCTAGAATTTACAAAGCTAATGCATTTTTTAAATTTTTTTTTTAAGATTTATTTATTTATACAAGCACTGGGTACAGTCAGAAGCGCAGGAGGGTGAGAGAATTCACCACAGCCAGAGCGGAGAGCAGAACAGGCAGAGTGACGAAGTACACTGCTGAGGGGAGCAGCGGGCGGCAGGAAAGGTCTGCGCGCCATGTGGGACCCTCGCCCAGAGGCCGGGGATCAAACCGGCGCTGCAGAGGCTACAGGCAGCTTCACAACCCAGCGCTCAACCGCTGCGCCACCAGTGAGGCCCCTAAATGTATTTTTTTCAAGTTGGAATTACAACAAAATACCAGTACTACAAAAAAAATTTCCTGCTTCATATGAATGCATTACAATTTCTACTCAGTCAAATAAACTATTTTTCTATGCCATGAAACATAGTACTTTCAAATATTTAAAGTCTATTGAAACCAGTGTGTAAGAACCAAAACCACAATGAGATATCACCTCACACCTGTTAGGTTATTATCAAAATAAGATATAGAAATGTTCATGAGGATGTGGACTTGCATACTGTTAGTGGGTATGTAAATTGGTACGTCACTATGGAAAAGAGTATGAAGTTTCCTTGAAATTAAAAATAGACCTACAGTATGATCCAGAAATTTCACTTGTGGTATTTATCCAAAGGAAACAAAAACAGTAACCCAAACAAAATCACCCGCATTGGCTTTCAGTACTATTTCATTGCAGCATTATTTACAGTAGCCAAAACATGAAAATAACCTAAGTGTCTACTGATGACTGGATAAAGAAACTGTGGTGTATTCAGGTTTCCTCTGCTATCCAAAAGTAGAATATTCCTGTTATGATTTGGTAGTTATTTTGGGGGTGTCTATGAATACTCAAAATATTTTCATATAAAAAATGGCAATAGCAATCCAGGGCTCAAAAAACAAATAAACAAACAAAAAACCTACCAAGTATTCAGTTTTCAGATAGCAGGAGAAAATTGTATATACAATGGAATATTAATCATTTTAAAAAAGAGAAGAAAATACTGCCATTTGCAATAACAATGGCTGGACCTTGACAACATATGCTAAGTGAAATCACTCAGAACAATAAATACTGTATGACCCTAGTCAAATGTGCAAATTTTTAAAAAAAAAAAATTTTTGTGTAGAACTGGGGTGCAGGCCAGAGATGTGGGTGATAAGATTTGCCAGAAACAGAGTGGGGAGCAGAACAGGCAGATCTACTGAAATACACTGCTGAGGGGAGCAGCAAGTAAGACAGGCGAGGTCTGCTGCACCACATGGGTCAGCTCCCTGTCAGGGACTGAACTCAGGCCAAACTCAAGCCCTTGTGGTGGGCCTTTAAGGTGGTAGAGCTGAGACTTAAACCCTTTGCCACAAAGGAGGCCCTCTATGTGCACTCTAAAAAAGAACAAATAGATGGTTGCCAGAGATGAAAGAGTGGGTATGTAGAACCAGTAAAGGTATTCAGAAGGAATAAACTTATAGTAATAAAATAAAATCTGGGGCTGTAATATACAGCATGGTGAGTATAATTAATAATACTCTATTAAGTATTTAAAAGTTGCTAAGAAAGTAAATCTAAAATTCTCGTTATAAGAAAAAAAAATTAACTGTGCAGTGATGGATGTTAACTAGACTTATTGTAGTGATCATCTACATATATAGACTTATTATGTTGGACACATAATATGTCAATTATATCTCAATTTTAAAAAATAGTTTGTAAGAAAAACAGCTTTTCCTTTGTCTTCTATTAATCAAAAAGCAAAACAAAAATCAATTCAGGACTTGTGTCAATTTATAGTAACATATCCTAAAGGAATTAAGGAACTCATAAAAAGAGTTAATTGTACTAAAAACCAGGAATGAAAGTCATCAAAAATCACACTAAATAGGGAGTCTATTTAGAAATCAAGAAAAAAAAAATAACCCTTATATCTGGAAATTTATTAGTTCATCAAGGATGGAACTTCCTCATAGCACTAACTACTCACACAATTATTTATGTGTAGATATTTGTGTGTGTGTGTGTGTGTGTGAGAGAGAGAGAGAGAGAGAGAAACTTGAGAGAGCCTTATTTAAACTTCAAGTGGAACATAATGAGTGAATGAAGGAATGGATGAGAGTGAAGGTTTGGTTGGGTGCTTGGCCTCTCAGTCTACTTTACAACATGATACCCTGAGATGACAAACAGGAGCAGGATTTCTGAAGTGGAAAGAGTAGAAGAGAGTGGTTTTAAGGCAAAAGAATAAAGTAGAAAGTTTGCATTTTAACCTCCTCCTCTTTTCCCTTCCAATCATCTGTCTAACTGAGAGGCATGTGTGTTGTAGTTAAGAGCATGGACTTAGCAGCCAGGTCCCCAAGTCCAGCTCCACCCACTGACCACACTGTTACTACAGGCAAGTTTGCTAACCTCCCATTTCATTATCTGATGGTTGGGGATAATAATGGTGCTTACTCACAAAGGGCTGTTGCAAAAATGAAATAAATTAACACCCAGCAAGTACTCAAATGGTGCCCGGCACATACAAGTCAATAAGTTAGTTATTTTGATTGTTACTTGTTATTTGATTGTTATTTGTTTGAGTGCCTGCATTTTCAAAACCTCCCTCTGTGGTTCACCACCTGGGCTTCCTTCTGCTTGAGCCACATCCCATGCTCCAGCTCTTCACAATGGTTCTGTTCTCTGCCAAAACATCTCTGTTACTTAGAATGTTCTTTGCCAATGCTGTCATCTATGACAACAGGCAAAAAGGGTGTTAATCCCTTCAAGTATCACTTTATATCCACACAATATATGCATGGGGAGCTTCTTATGATCTAAAGAGGTAATACCAAGAGTTGGGAACAGATAATTCCCATTCAAATACTAGGCATCCTTCTGCCCTGCCCACAGAATCAAATGTGACTGAACATTCAACACTAGCACTTTTTCAATATAAGGAATGTGGAAATCAATTCCATGAAGATTTGCACAGTATTCAAACTCATTCTACTTTTCCTACTAAAAAGCTTTAGTGTTGTTACAGATTACAGATTTCCCTCCACGAACAGTTCACCTAAGTCAGTTAAATTTTGGTTCCTCTTTTTGTCCCAACTTTAAAAGTTATGGCATTGGTGCCATCATTCTCCAGTTTCCATTAGCATGTCTGGTTTTAATAACCGTTTCTTCTACCACTATTGCCAAAATACTATATAATATCTGCAACTAGAGTGAGTTTAAAGCATGAATTTTATCACCTATTCAGATAGATATAGTTGGTTCCTAAAATGGAAAGAACAGTTAATATTTTAATATTAACTGTTATTAAAAGTTATTATTTTAACTTGAAAATGGAATTTTTTAATGCAGAAAAATCTAAGTTCACTTGTAGACTTAGAGGAGACATACACTGCAGGACACAGGCCCTGGTAATAGCCTGTTATGACCCAGCATGTGAATGCCATCAAAGGATTGAATCCTTACACCCACCCTCTCCAATTTCTGTTCTTGACATGGCAAAGGAGCTCATGACATTACCATCCTCTTAATTGTCCTTTCAAGCGTAAGGTTTGAATTGCAGTATCCAGGATTTTGTTCCCACTTCACTAAGCACCTCTCACTCAAACAGGTTGGAGAAAAAACACAATGCATTTTTTTTCTCACCTGTCCAGAACGAGGTCTGGAGCAAAGATGAGCTTGCCAGGGTGATCGATCGAGCGCCACATCAGCCCCAACATTAACACCTCCAGCCAGCAGCTCTCCAAGAGCCGCACTTGGTCATACAGACTGAGCTCCACAAAGCCTGGGGAAAGCAACAGGCCATGAGACACATCCACCTCTCCTCCTCAGTTCCCTGTTTCTATAGAAACAGAACAAGTTTTAAAAGCTAAGAAGGCACAAACAATACAAAGAAACAATATTATAAAGATGTGGTTAAATGCTAAATAGCCCTTTTGAACTTAAGGGGTACAATTTTAAGTCTTGTATCCCTCTAGAAACAAATTACTTCATTTAGAATTTACAAAGGGCTCTTGCCTGGACATAAACAGCTCCCCACACAGGTGGTAGGGAAAAATAGAAAGCTGGCACTGACTTTGTTAGTTATATCCTAGTAATTCCTCTATAGCAATAAGAAAATTAATGCTCAGCTGCCATCCAGAGGGACTGCCTATCTGGCCTAGTTAATGATTGGGGCCAGGAGGAGTGTGTGTGGGACATTGGGTGTGGGGGATGTGGAGAGAGAACAGCACCAGTCACTGCAGAAAGACAAAACTTTAAGTGAAGTGATTTCTCCAATTGCCTAAAATTTCCCATCCAGTTCAGAATCTTTCTTCTGAGTAGCAGCACCATTACTGGGCTATTCGATCAGGAAGAATGAATGTGACAATGAATGGAGATTTGACATCCTGATAGCCTAGTAGCACGTGTAGATTACAGAACTGGAAAGAAAACAGGTAATTTCTAGGGAGGTGAGCACTTCAAAAGTAAAGCAGGGATGGCCGGTGCTTCCTCCGCAGCCCTGATAAGAGGAGGGACAGTGTAATACAAATACAGTTACCAAACGCATGGCCTTGGAGTGTGATGGATTATAGTAAGTCCCAGCTCAACCTCTTCCTAGTTAGTTACCTAATCTCTTTTTAAGTATGTTTTCTTATAGGAAAAATGGGGGCAATAATGCCTACATCTGAGAATTTCCTACATGTAGGATCTCTTATCCTCACTTTACAGATAAGGAAACTATGGCACAGAAAGCACATGTGGTTCAAGTCTTTGAACAATTATGATGCAAATCTGCACAAAGAATTCAATGGAGGAATGACTGGAAAGATAGCTAAATCCTTTCCCATGCTCAGTTCATACTCCTAATATGTATACATGTTCCAATCTCACCCACAGTTATAGACAACAAACCTGGCCAAGGAAAATCCAGCTTTTTATACTTGAAAGAATTCAAGAAGATCAGACCTAGATGGTATTTTAGTATTTGTTTGGTTTGGACAATGACTACATCAGCAAAGAGAAGGGGACCAGGAAATCACATCTCTAGACTATGCCCAAATTTTTGAAAATTGAAGGACTAATGCAGCTTAAGAGCTCAGTTTTATTATGGAACAAAGAAGCTATCCAGCTTTCAACAATAATTACTTTTTTTCCCTTTTTTAATATTTTATTTTATATAATTCTTACATCATTTTTCATTTTTGCACAATGTATGAATTTTCATTTTGGTAACAATAATTAATTTCACCACCACTCTCCACATGAAGTTCTGAAAAACAGTGCTTGGGATACATGTAAAGCAAAAGCTGGAAGAAACTGCATCAGTTCTGTCTTCTCTCAGAAAGTGCATTAGAAAATAAAATAGTTCTAGCAAAGGTGACAATGCTAAACTCTTGAAACAAAACTGGAAATCAGTAAATCCTCAGGAAGCTCAAGAAGCCCTTGTTTCCCACAGCTCTTTACCTGGACAGCACTTCACCCAGCTTCTCACCCCCTCCCAGCCTTTTCAGTTTGCCTGATCCAGTGGCTGCTCCCAAATCATGAGAATTTCTCTAGTGACTTAGAATTTGGAGAGGACTTATTTCTTATACAAATGTAAATATATGCAAGGAGAAACCCTTTCAGGGATGACAGATTGCTGCCATTCTGTGTTAGAATCCTAGATTCACTCTTTCACAGAAGCATCAAATCAAATAGTAACTAGATAGTAATTTTAGCTTAATGCAGTATTTCAAGTCCACATTACAAACCAGCCTGTGGAAGTGACAACATTATAGGATGGAAAATGCAGGTTCCAAATAATAACTCATGATGACATTCCAAGTTTATTAATGATTTTTGTCACTTCAGTTACTGATTTATTCTATTTATCCACATATATTCATTTTTGTACAAAATACTGATTTCTCCATTAGAACAATATTTTACAAGTCCCTATTTTGCATCTGACAAGTTTCACTTTCTTACTGTTCATGCTGTATCCCACCTTGCCCTCACCTAACTAGAGCCCTCCTTTCCAGGCAAGGATTTCACAGCCAAGAGACAAGCGAATGTGGAGATCTTCTTTTTAGACCATGCTCCAGGTTCCAGGACCTACATTTTTTTCCCCCAAATGGTCCCTATGCATGTACCTCCAGGACCTAGATAGGTTTCTTCCCAGAACATATCTAGGCATGAGAGGTAACCAACAGGCTGGTGTCCATAGGAGATATGCATATGTAAGACAGGCTGTTCACAAGGCTGTCTAGGATAGTCTGGGGTGGGTCAAAAGAGTTGGAAATAGAAAAGTGCAGCCATATACAAATCCCGTACTGTCATGTCCGGTGAAGAGCTCAGATGAGTATAAGAACTGGCCTTCCAGAACATGCTGAAAGTACATATACCAAGATAGGATGAACATATTTTAAAGTTTATAAATAAAATTATCAAATTGTTAAATATGGAGACAGTTTATGAACCTCCATTTTGCACTACTGCCTTATAAATGTTAGGGACAGGCCTTTTCTATAATAAATGCAAAGATAAGACCAGAAAGCCCTACCTGGAATTTTCTTGGCCCAACCAATCATGTGCACCAGTTCTTTGTCAGCCAGTTTCGTCAGGGACATCATCATGGAGGCCTCAGTGAAGGGTGTGCTGGGCCGGCTCACTAGCACGTTGGGTGGTTCTGCCTCAAGTAGCGTGAGAACCAAGTGCTCTGGACTCAGGGCGCTCAGCAGCAGCTCCTTCACCCGGGTCACATGTCCACTATTTCTCTTGGCTTTGCTCAGGCAATGCAGCTGCTCATCAGAATTTCTCTGCCTACGCATTATACGATACCCACACCTTTCTCTCCGGGAGCCTAAAGCAGAAAGCAGATGATAACATAGTGCTTTCTCCATCTCTTCCCCAATCCAGCATTCAAGTTCCTTGAGTCACCAGGGTAAAAATGAAGCAATGACATTACTGTAAAATTTAAGTCTATTTTCAGAATGTGTCTTAGAACAGAAGACTGGTTTATTTTCTGGAGGCTGTAGGGTATGTACCAAAGATTACTGCAATTGTGACTCCAAAAGTAACATGACTTTTTAGAGACAATAGCCCAAATAACCTTAAGATCTCCATTTCATAAGCCAGAAAGAAAAAGAAAAATACTGGATGGTCTCACTCATAGCAGGAATCTGGAAAACTTAAATAAGGGACCAGGAAAATGAATAACTATAAGAAAGTGAAAATCAAAATCAACAAAAAACTATGAACCAGAGACAGTCTATGGGGGGGGGGGGGGGGGAGGGGAGGGATTGGGGTCAAAATAAGGGGGTTGCAATTGTATGGGGAATATAAAAATAAAATTTATTTAATAAAAAAAATCTCCATTTCAAGATCATCTATGGATACTAAATATATTTCACTTTTCACAAGTGTTAACATACTTCAACCTCCAAAAGATGAATTTAGGAATTTCTTCAGGCAGAAGATGAAGGGAAGATATGAAACTAAACACAGATATTTCCAAACAGTTGTTCAAATAATACACTTTTATATGCTTAAAATGTTTACATATATGCCTGTATATGTATGTGTAATGTGTACACTTTTTCATACACAAACAAGTAGATTTCAAATAGTAATGTGGAAAATATAGAAGAGCACAAATCTTAGTAAAAATTATTTCAATTTTAAACAGCTTTTATACTATCCTATATTTTATAAATTAAATAGCATCAGTGTATATACTATTTTATAAACTGCTTTTTCCTTTTAAAAATGACATTTTCAAATAGATCACCCAGACAGAAAACCAACAAGGAAACAATTATTTTAAATGGCAAGTTACATGAGATGAGCTTTAATAGAGTTACAGAGCATTCTAACTAAAAACAATACACAGTCAGCTCAAGTGCACATGGAACATTATCAAGGATAGACCACATGTTGGGACACAAAAAGTCTCAATAAATTTATGAATATTGAAGTCATATCAACCATCATTTTGGATTACAATGGTATGAAGTTAGAAATCTTCAAAAAGAAATAAAAAGGGGAAACCATTTGTGGAGACTAAATAATGTGTTATTGAACAACTATCGAGTCAATGGAGAAATCAAAAACCACCTGGAGAAAATTTAAAATGAAAACAGGTGTTACCAGAATCTAAGGGAAGTGGGAAGCAGCATAAGTGGTACTAAGAAGAAATTTTATAGCAATACGGACCTATTCAAGAAACAAGAAGAATCACAAGTGAAACATTTAACCTTATACTTAAAAGAACTAGAAGGAAAAACAAGCCAAATATCAGAAAAAGGAAGGTAATAGTAAAAATTAGAGGAGAAATTAGAGATCAAAAAGACAATGCAAAATATCGATGAAATCAAGAGCTAATTCCCGAAAAAGATAAATAGCCAAATCTGAGTCAAACTCACAAAAAAGAGAGAAAAAACAAAATTAGAAACAAGAGAATTTACAACAGACAGGATTATAAAAGAATATTATATGTGACACAACAAACTGGGCAATCTAGAAGATATAGACAATTTCATAGAAACATACAACATTCCAAGACAGAATCAGGAAGAAAAAGAAAATCTGAACAGACCAATCACAAGTAAGGAAATTGAAACAATAATCAAATCTTAAAAAAAAAAGTCCAGAATTAGATGGCTTCTTTAGTGGATTCTATCAAACTTTCCAAGTATTATCTACCCATTTCAAACTTTTCTAAAAAATTGAAAAGGGAAAACTTCCAAATATAGTCTATGAAGCCAATATTAATTACTGTTTCCAAAATCAGATGAGGACACCACAAAACAAGAAAACTGTAGATTAATATTTCTGATGAAACAGATGCAAAAATCCTCAACAAAATACTAGCAAACAGAATTTAATGACACATTAAAATAATTGTATACCATGATCAGATGGGAATTACCCCAGTGATGCAAGTTTGGTTTGATATACACAAATTAATGTGATACACACATCAACAAAAGGGCAAAAATCATGGTATCTCAATAGATTCAGAAAAAGCATTTAATAAGATTCAATAGCCATTTGTGATTTTTTTTTTTTAAATCAAGAAATGGATATAGAAGGAATATGCCTCAACAGAACAAAGGCCATGTCTCACAAACCCAGTCAATACCATACTCGAATTCAGACAATATAAACCTTTAAGACAAGAATAATTGTTAGGGGCCTTCCCAGTGGTGCAGCGGGTTGAGCACAGCACTGTGAAGTTGTCCGCAGCCTCTGCGGCACCAGTTCGATTTCTGGCCAGCCAGGGAGACTCCCACATGGCGTGGCCGACCTCTCCTGTCTCGCCCGCTGCTCCCCTCAGCAGTGTATTTCGGTCCTTCTGCCTGTTCTGTTCCCTGCTCTGTCTCTGGTGGATTCTCTTACCCTCCTACACATCTGGCCTGTACTCCAGTGCTTGTATAAATAAATCAATCTTTAAAAAAATAATTGTTAAAGAAGACTCATCAGTAAATTATAAAAAGATAATTCTAACTCATACACATCAAACAAGAAAATACAACCTACATACAAAACCAAAAAGTGACTGAAAGAGAGTTTGACAGATACATTATTATAATGGATGTTTTAATATATTTCTCTCAGCAACTGACAGAGCAAACAGATGAGGAAAAGTCAGGATATAGAATATTTTAACTGCACAACTAGCTTGATCTATAGAAATTCATGGACATTTGCAAAAACTATCAGAATGGATCATGAGCAAAATCTTAACTGAAGTTCATTATCATAATTATATTCTCTACCCACACACAATAAAAATTAAAACAATAAAAACATAACTCCCAAACTCCTATAAACTAGAGCACAAAAATATTTCTAAATATCCAGACTAGAGATAAAAATATAAAACTAGGAAAAACATGTTTAAGTTAGGATATCATTAGCATGGAAACTGTTCTATGAATTCCCCCATAAAAATAATCTACAAGTAAAATCCTACACAATTCCTACTTTCTATACAACCCCTATTATGTTTGTTCATTAAATTCAATTGTCCATATGTTAAAAAGACATATTAGGAAGTATGAGCATATTTAAATATTGACTTCCAAGAAAATTTATCAATACAAGGAAGGGCTCTATCCATCTAGGGGTATTTGAGTCAAATACATTGCTAAAAGAATTAAAAGCCTAAAACATTTTTTATTAATAATCAGAGTGCTATAGATATTTAAGATCAGTTATACCCCCAGGATAAAATGTAACAAAATGTATAGTTTAAGAAAGCACTTTTCTGATCACACTTTCTTTTTTGTAGAGTATATAAGGAGTTTACAAAGCAGGTTTACATCCGAAGTGAAAGGTCTTGAATCCATGCATTCATGTGTATTTGAACAACTTTCACTCACAGTTCTATGTACTAAGCCCTTTACAGAGTCCTGAGGACTCTAGGTACAGCACAATAAAGCCCTTGGTGAGGGAGGAACTCACATTCCTCTATGAAGAACATTCCTAGTGTTGTGGCTTTGACACTGATCTAGGCAGTGTCACCCTGTACTTGTGAATTTATGAGAAACTGCCAAATAGGGGCCCCCAATATTAGAAGGTGATACAGCCCCAGCAAAAAGATGAAGATGATGATGATGATGATGATCATAGTCGTAAATGATAATAATGGCAGCTAACATTTACTGGAAGCTTCTATGTGCAGACACTGCGTACTGTACATAGATTATCTCATTGTGACAACTGCCCTGCAGGGCAGGTGCTATTACTATTTCTAATGTACAGAGGAGGAACCAGGCACAAGAGACCTCAAAAAACTTGCCAGGGGAAGAAAAGCTGAGAAAGAGCAGAGGCACGATCTAAACCCAAGTAGTAATCTGAATCCAGAGTTAGTGCTTTAAACCACTATTTTATACCTTTATACCCTTCCTATCAAATCCCTTTCATCTGTACATACAGCAGGTGAATAAAGAGATGGCATCCAAACAATGCTGAGATAACATCCTAAGACAGTGATACAAACCAAATACATGGCTATTCAGACTGTTTTCCTGCTTACTTACATTGTATCCTTACAATGGTCTGTCCCTGAAGTGAGTCTGGGTTGATAGCTCTCCAATCATATTAATAGCTCAGTAGAAAAGATAAGATTGGAAATTTAGAAGAAAAAGGTGGAGCATGTGTAGGATTACTGGGACACTAGCAGGACATGGTATGAAAATAAACATTTGTAGAGGTTTAAAACTACAATCACCAAGATACAATGATGTAAAGCAACTTTACCTCAATAAACATAATTTTTAAAAAAAAGTGATTATAGAAGAGGCATGATTTCTGAGTAAAAAGAAAACCTGTAATATTTGTATAAGAGAATGTGGACTACAGGTCAAATTCTTAGTCCTCCAAGATGGATAGAATGGAAGACTTTGGATGGAGGGCTTGGGGAGAGCAGATGAGAAGAATGCTGGGGAATAGCCAAGAAGATTCAATTCTATGGTCTTTTTCTGTGGTCAGCGAAAGGCTAAATATGCAACTGTTTGTGTGCCAATAACCTTTCTTCTGTAATCTCCAAAGATAATATTTTTTTTTTCCTCAGAGAGCCCTACCCAGGGACATTCTGGCCAAATTCAATGACCTTTTCTCTCATTCCCTTTTCCATTAAAAATTTTTCACTACATTTCTGCACTCCGCCTTTTGAGACTGCATTGTTCATAACTCATATGACCTTTCTAATGAGGGAGCAAAAAAGGAAGGAAAACTAAAATAGAGTGCCAGACACTACGCTAGGTCTTTCTATATGTTTTCTTATGTATCCTCACAAAAGTCAGGGAAGCTGGCATCTACACTTCTGAGGTGAGAAAATGAAGGCTCAGAAAGGTCATGCCATCTTTGTCAAGGGTAGTGAGATGAAATGAAACCCGAGACTCTGAGAGCAGGAGACCAGTCCTCAAGATCTAGCCCTCTACAGGCAGAGTATACATGTACAGGGGCTCATGGTCCTGAAACACAGGGGCTACAGCAACCCAAGAAATCCTGGTACAGTAAAAGCATTCTTGTTCTGAGATTAATATATATTTCACCATATCTGTGTGTGTGTATATATATACACACACACATACCATCACATACCATCTCTGTGTATATCATACATTCACCTTAAAATACTATTTAAGGTAAAACATGAACCATATTTGCAATCTTTTGTCAGAAGACCAAGGTTTTTTCATTAAGTACCTCTGCCAATTAAATCACAATACTCCCCCCAAAGCCTGTGTAAACCACAGCCATGATACATTGTCTCTAGGTTTTCAGTTTCTTTAAAAACAGGGCACAAAGTTAGGTACTCATAAAGCAATCTGAGTTCAGAACCTTTCTAGGTTTATGAAATAAACCTGTAAGTTTAGTGATGTAAGCTAGACAGAGAAAGACAAACACTAATAGAATTTCACTCATATGTGGTATATAGTGAACTAAAGGAGATGAATTAAAATAAAACAAAAATAAGCTTCTGAACCGCTGCCACACCACTTAAATTATAGAAAGTTCTTCCCATATTGGACCAAACTCTGTCTCCTATAATTTATTCCCATTCACTTTAACTGTCCTCTACACTACAGGGATGGCACAGGTTATGCCCCAATGTGACAGCATACAAATACATGAGAGTAATGACAATTTCCTCTCATCCAGGTTCGATGTCCTCAGTGCCTCAGACCACCCTCACTTTGACATTGCTTTCAGCATTTCTTACAATAAAAGGGGATGTGGCCACTCACCACATTTGACCATTCCAACTTCATAACATTTTCGAAGCCGGCAGGCCTGGCAGCTTTTGCGCCGGTTCTTATCTATAGTGCACTGATTTGTAGCTGGACAAATATAATCATTATGCCCTACAGCAAAGAAAAAAAAAGGAAAGTTATACTCACAATATTTCAATTAAATTTACCCCTCGTCAACAACACTGATAATGCTATCGAGTTGAGAAATAAAGGGCATCTAAATGGCAGGTGCAGGAAAAAAGGCCAAAGTACAGTCTCATGGTAACTTGTTGAGTAAAGGTATCCTAGAACTACTTCAATATTCTGGTTTTTGACTCATTGGCTATTCTCTGCATGTTCTTAGAATTCTCAAGAGACATTTAGAAATATTCCCCTTTGGACATGGAAAGTGAGAATCACCTGAGATTGATTTGCTCCAAATCACAGAACTCCTTAAGACTGTACTTCTGTACTACCAAATTCAACTGCTAAGATTCTTTTACATCTATCCCTCTTTGGGATTTAACATGGTATTTTTATAGGAATTCACAGCCGAGTACAAACTAAACTGGTCAATAAAAGGACAAATGAAGAAATTAGCAAAGAAAATAAAAACTGTTACTTGACAATGGTTGAGATGGATTATTGTTCTCAATTCTTCACTCCCTCCCTCAGTTTTGTAACCTTGTAATTATAATTCCCCACTGACTGATGCTGCCTTGGCCATGGGACTTGCTTTAGCCAGGGGTCTACCAGTAGATGTGATGGTCCAACCGTTTGGCTTAGTCTCGAGTTCCCGTGAGATGCCTCAAGTAACCAGCAGCTCAAGGAAAACGTTGAGACATATATCTCATGATATATGTACATATATGTACATATATCTCATGATATATGTACATGAATCTATGTACATGAACTCAGAGTCCAGAACCAACCCTTTATGAAGTAGAACCATCCTAACCAACTCATAAGCCCATAAGAAAAATAATATTAATTTTAATAAAACACTGGTTATGTAGCAATCCCTAAGACAATAGTGCTTTTTGTCATTCTCTCATGTAAGAAGAAAATAAGAAAATTCCCTTTTCAAGAATTATTTCAGATGCTGTATAGAGAATGGATTAGAGGTGGAAAAATTGATGGAGGCCTCAAGAGCTGGTAAGCATATTTTACTGTTCAAAACAGATATGAGGTTGCTGGATCAGGTATTGTTAGAGAGGATGCAGAAACCTAAAAGATCTGAAAGTTATGAAATAGAAATTATAATAAAATATAAGAAAAGGAAAAGCAATTGGGGATTTGGTGACTATTTCTTAATTGTGACTTTTTAATGAACAATATGGCCTGAGATTCTTACATTAAACATACAACAGGCCAGAATTTCAATATTGAAAATGAATGAATCTCGGTGATAAATTAAATGAGAAGTCATAAAAGAAACAGCTCACGAAAGAATAAAGAAAATTCCATTCATGTAAAGTTCAAAATGGAGAAAGCTATATTGTTTAGGGAAGCATGCTTAGGTGGCAAGGAAGGCAGAAGTTGTGATTATCTTACCTCTGGAGGGAGGAAAGGAGCTGGGACTAGCAGCATCACCCAGAGGGATTCTGAGACTCTGGATATCCAATTTCATGGTCTGAGCACTAGTTATACAGGGGTTTGCTTTAGAATTATTCTCTGAAAATTATTCTTAAATAACTTTAAACTTTAAAATTATTCTTCAAATTATATATGTCTATATATTCATATATTTATTTCATTTCCATATATATTTCCATGCATGCAAACACATACACCCTACATACTGGAATAAATGTGTTCCTTAACTCTCTCTTCTGAAAGCACCTGAGATATCCTGAGAGCAATGAGGAAACTAGCACTTAGATCTTGGTTTGTAAATATTCTCCTACAAAAGGAAATAGGGCTCTTTGGAGAAATGGCTTATTCCAAGACTGGGACAGAAAATACAAGGTAAGCCTCATATATCTTGTTGTCAGGAGGTAAAGAATTGTGCAAAGAATTATAGGCCAAAAAAGAAACAGCAACCATGGGCCTCCCCAGTGGCGCAGCGGTTGAGCGCTGGGTTGCGAAGCTGCCCGCAGCCTCTGCAGCACCGGTTCGATCCCTGGCTGCTCCCCGGCCACCGGAGGAGGGTCCCACATGGCACAGCAGACCTCTCCTGTAGAGCCCGCTGCTCCCCTCAGCAGTGTACTTCGGTCCTTCTGCCTGCTCTGCTGCCCACTCTGGCTCTGGTGAATTCTCTCACCCTCCCGCGCTTCTGACTGTACCCAGTGCTTGTATAAATAAATAAATCTTTAAAAAAAAAAAAAAAAAAAAAAAACAGCAACCAATTTAAGGGTATCCTACTGGTCAAATCTGGGATAATGTGGACATCCAAATTAGACTGGTCTAAATTGTGCCACATGCCTCCTTAGTGCCCTCTGCAGTAATGTGCATGTCACTGTTAAGTCTTTGGCCTCCTTCCTTCTGAGAGTCTGGAAACACATGTTAAAGTAATGGGGGCAGGCGGGGTGGGGGAGGAGGGGTTGGGAAGAGGTGGTAGAGAATGTAACCCGCTCCTCTGGCCTGTACCCCAGTTCTTGTATGCATATAAATAAACCTTTAAATAAAAGAAAATAGTCCTCCTCAAACCACACCAACTACCTCATGGATTAAAGTGGTTTTCTTCCTCTCATGCAACAGTCTAAGGAATTCCATACTAAAAGAGCCAAAAGAGAAGTTCAAGGCAAACCATACAGCTAATTCTTTTAGTTAAGATATAACATTTTATAGGAAAATGAATTTTTTTAAAGATTTATTTATTTATTTATTTATTTATTTATTTATACATACATACATACAAGCACTGGGTACAGTCAGAGGCACGGGAGGGTGAGAGAATTCACCAGAGCCAGAGGGGAGAGCAGAGCAGGCAGACTGACGAAATACACTGCTGAGGGGAGTAGCGGGCAGCAGGAAGAGGTCTGCACGCCATGTGGGACCCTCGCCCAGTGGCCGGAGATCAAACTGGCGCTGCAGAGGCTGCAGGCAGCCTTGCAACCCAGTGCTCAACCGCTGCACCACCAGGAAGGCCCAGGAAAATGAATTTTTATGATTAAAAAAAAAAGGCTTTCTTTGTTCTCTCTACAAGGGCATTAAGTCCAAACACATATTATTCATATCCAATTGTATGAAGAGAAGAGACAACTTTGGACTTCAAATCAGAAGATGTGATTTTAATCTCAGTCTTCCAGTTGTCTTAACTTAAAAGTAGAGCAGGGCCTCCCTGGTGGCACAGGCGGTTGAGCGCAGCACTGTGAAGCTGTCTGCAGCCTCTGCAGTGCCAGTTTGATCCCCGCTGGCCGCAGAGATACCCACATGGTGCAGCAGACCTCTCTTGTCTCGCCTGCTGCTCCTCCCCTCAGCAGTGTATTTCATCAGTCTGCCTATTCTGTTCCCTGCTCTGTCTCTGGTGAATCCTCTCACCCTCCTGCACATCTGGCCTGTACCCTGGTTCTTGTATAAATAATCATTTTTAAAAAAATTTAAAAGTAGAGAGCAATGTTTATCACCAACATCCTCCCCACAATCTTAAACCTTGACAGCAGGCATCTACCTCGTGTTTTATTCCCTTAAGATATTCTTCTCAGTTCAAGGTCAAGTGAGTCTCAAGTAATTGAATATATGCCTTAAAATATGAATCTCCAATATAACTTTTAGGCTGCTAGAGCTTCCCATTTGAAACTCAGCTTCTAAAGTCTTAAACAAAAAGTTGAAGATTCATGAGAAACAAATAGATTTTAACTACCAAAGGACAATATCAAAAGGCAATTATGAATATCAAAATGAAAGTGAGTAGTGAAATAAAACAATAATAATTAAATGTGGCTATAAAATAAAGAGCCAAAAGAAATAAATTTATGGAAAATGCATGAAGAACTGTGCTAGTTACATATAAGACTAACAAAGTTTTGAGATGTAAAAGACCTAAATAAATGGAGATATGTTTTTTGATGTGTAGTCTTTTACAATGATTCCTTTCAAAATAATTCTTAGGTTAAAAAAACTACTTTTCTTACCATTAAAGATGGGAAGTCATTTAATACAATTATACTAATGTTCATATGGACAAAAAATAAGAAAAATAGGACTTTTAAATGGGAGCATGTACACTAACAGGTATTAAAATTCATAATAAAGCTATACTTAAAATCATGTGGTATTACACAACAATGACAAGATAGATTAACAGAAGAATAAAAAAACAGAAGCATACGTAAGAACTTATATATACCACACATATAATCAATAAACACAAGATGCTCAAAGCATCAGTAATCAGGGAAATGTAAATTAAAACCACAATGAAATACAACTATGTACCCAAAGAATAGTTAAAATTTAAGACTGTTAAGTTTTGACAAGGTTATGGAACAATTAGAAATTTCATACATTGCTGCTCAGAATAAAAAATGGTTTCAACACTTAGGAAAATTTGTCAACTATGTTTGTATGTCAGTTAAATATACACTTCATCACACAAGTGGCAAATTTACTCCTAAGTATTTAGCAAAGAGAAGCACAAACATATCTACACAGAGAGATATGCTTGGATATTCATAGCAAGTTTATTCAAATACTTAGCACAAAACTTAGCACAAAATACTTAGCACAAAACTTTAACTCAAATGAACACTGTGGCACACGTATATATTGGAATATTACTCAGTAAGAAAAAGAAATGAATTACTGATAAATAAAACAACATAAATCTTGAAAGCATCATGGTAAACATAGATCTTATTTACTTCATGATTCAATTAGATGACATTCTAGAAAAGGCAAAACTATAGGAACAGAAACTATATCAGTGGTTATAGAGCTGGGGTATGGGGGGAGAATAGGTAAGAAATTGGCTGCAATGGGCGCAAGGATTTGGTGGGGGGAATAACATTTTGGGGGATGTTGGTTACATGCATTGTCAAAATTCTTATTCATTAAAATTGAATTTTATTGTATGTTAATTATGTCTCAAACTCAACTAAAAAATAAACTTCGTATTTTAAAAAATCAATGAAAATAGATATTTAAAAAAACAAAACAATGTGGTGGATGTGTTGTGGTAATATATACTTGAAGAGGTGTGATCCTATACATCTTACTCATGCAGTGTTGCAAACCAATGTAGCCTCAAATTAAAAAAATATATAAAATAAAACATAAACCAATGTGGATAAGATTGACCATTTAAGAAAAATACATTACATTCTTATTTCATTCAATATACTGAAAGAATTCAGTAGTCACTTTCAGTTATTACAATGCATTTATATCAAGAGGGTGCACAATATGAAGAGTCCAAAGAAATAATCACTTAAGCATTAAACTATTATAACAGCACTCTTTCCCTTTTGCACATTTGGAATGTGACATTCCTCCCCCTTCTCAATAAATCCTTGGCTGATGCAGTAAGAAGGAAAGACATGGAGAAAGTGAGGGAAACTTACTTTTCATTGTGATCAACTACTGTCTCAGGGTTCAAGGATATTTCAGGCAAGAGAGATTTTCCTCCAACAACAAACTAGAAGGCTCTTTTTAAAAGATGCATTTAGTTGTAGTTGGTCAAAATTACCTTAAGGGATAAATTCTGGAACCTCAGTAAGATAGAGAATGGCCATCATATCCAGAGTCCAGTTCCGAATTTTAGAAAATCTGAATTGTCCTTATTACATATAGCAGCGACCTGGACCTGACCCTATAAAATACTACTACAATTACCTGCTCTCCCTGGTGGCCTAGGGGTTAATTCTCAATACTATCACTGCTATGGCCTGAGTTTGATCACTAGTGAGGGAGCTAACCCACATAAGGAGGAGCAGACCTCTCCTGTCCTACATGCTGCTCCCCTTAGCAATGTATTTCAGTAAATCTGCCTGTTCTGCTCCCCACTCTATCTCTTTGGAATCCTCTTACCTCCACCCCACACTTTGCCACCCCAGTCTACACCCCAGTTCTCTATGCAAAAATAACTAAATTAGCTTTAAAAAAATTAAAATACTCTACAATTACCATAAATACAAATACTTAAGCACTGAATATGTTAAATGTAGGATGAAAAACTATTATAAAAGCAAAAATTATTTGTTCTGATAATATTTGATGATAGATGCTTCCTTATCTATATTGTTTTTCATTTTGATGAGAAAATTACATTTGTAAATGATTGGACAGTCATTTACCTAACTGTGAAAACCTTAGAGGAGGTGGGTTTAAATAATATTAGAAGAGAACTACAAAGAAGAAAGATGGTAATTTCTGAATAGAGAATCATTAAAATACTAGAAAATCTTAAATTTGCATAATGTTTAAATTGACCAAATATTTTCACACAACCAATCTCATTTTTTTTTTTTTGGAAAAGCAATGTGAATGTCCCCATTTCACAAGGAGAGAAGAGACTAAGAAACAATAGAGCTACTAAGTGGAGGGTCTAGGACAAAGATGGTCATTTATACAGGCTAGATTTCAGAGGGTTTTTATCTAACTAATATTTTACCCCCTACCATCAATGTATTCTAATGGTTTCTCTGCTTCAGGTAAAATGTTCTTAATCTGCAGTTAGCAGTGGGTGAGATAATTTAGTTCATTGATATTTGACATTTGTATGCTGTGAATTCCTTTAAGGTTGCTTTCCTTAAGTGGTTAAGAAAAAGGTTTTGCTAGAAAAGGGAAGGGCACTCTCAGATAGGAATAGAGGATATTGCCAGGGAGGAGGGCTGCTGAGGGAGGGTTAAAGAGCAGAGAGAACCAGAAAGAATGTGACTTCAGTGAATTAGGGCTGGCAAGGACATACACAGGGATGAGCTGACTGGCCTTGAAACCAGGTGTGCACAATTTGAAACTGATTAAAAGGGATGTTTAAAAACAACCACCACCCAGTCCAGCAAGAATTTGGAGAAGGGTGGGAAAAAGTCTAAACCCAGACCAGAAAATAAGAAAACTATGTAGGTAGGTTCCACTAGTCCAGGGTAAAAATAGGTCCCTTGATCAGCTTTCAAGTCCACTGGAGTGATTTCTGACAATTTCCATAAAGTATATTTATTCTCTCTTTTTCAACAGTCAGCCCATCATTATGACTGTAATTCATGTCAGATATTAAACATGAATCTAAAGAAGAAACAATCTTCGCAAATCCTAGCAAACACATTTTTCCCAAGTGATATCTTCTACCCAGAAAACAGTAATGGGTGGTGGGGGCCATGGGGGAGACCCATTCAAGTTTGGAGCTGAGATCTGCAATTAAAGATTAAGTGCTCTAGGGGCCTCCCTGGTGGCACAGGCGGTTGAGCGCAGCACTGTGAAGCTGTCTGCAGCCTCTGCAGCGCCAGTTCAATCCCAGCTGGCCGGCGAGAATCCCATATGGCAAGCAGACATCTCCTGTCTCGCCCACTGCTCCCTTCGGCAGTGTATTTTGGTCCGTCTGCCTGTTCTATTCCCCACTCTGTCTCCGGTGAATCCTCTCACCCTCCCATGCATCTGGCCTGTACCCTGGTTCTTGTATAAACATAGATAAATCTTAAAAAAAAAAAAAAAAAAGATTAAGTGCCCTACACGTGAAGCAATCTGTTCCTCCCTTCAGTATACATGATGCTCTGAACTGCTCAAGTATTTTGTGAGCCAAATAGCCAATGATGCAATTTCTGCTAGGTCATATGCAAAACTCTTTGAAACTGGAAAATTAAAGCAGCAGCTAACAACACTCTTGTACCTTGAATGCTTCTTTTAAAAAACGCCTTACATCCTTCACAGGACCAGACTCCATAGTGATATCCTGACGCATAATCACTGCAGACAGCACAGAAATGGGCATCCTTCTTTGGACTAGTAACAGGGCTGATGCAACTGCTCCCACTAACCTTCCTTTTCAGTGTCTCTCTGACAAAGAAAACATCCATTGTAAAGGAACATTCAGGAGACAAGTGAAACTTTTTAATTTAATCTCTATGCCATCCAGTGTTCATATGACTATATTCCAGAAATCTGATCAAGCAAAATCTTTGTCACTGATATCAGATCTAGGAAGAGCCACATTGTAGGGAATGACCCGTGCTTGAAAGTGGTTTGGTGAGTCTATATCCATTCTTGCAGGGTGGGTGAGCACTAGGAGCTACAGAGGGGCAGTGACAGGCATCAGGTGCACATCTAATGATAGTCAAGGGCCAGCTTGAGTCTTCTCCTCAGGTATGAATGACAAGCAGGGCATGCAGTGGTCTTCTATAGTTACCAGGGTTCAACACCACATGGGTGAGCCTTAACTCCCCAGACCACTTTCAAGGATCAGTTATTCCCAACAGTTAAACAGCCTTTCAGTGTTTCCCTTTAAATGGGCGACAAAATTTTTCATTCTGCAATTTAAGATCTAGAATGAAAATAAGGTGAGTAATGAATGGACTTCAGGTTATCCTAAGGTGAATATTGGGGCTGTGGCGGGTGTGAGGTGAAGGGAGAAGCACTTTATGCAGGAGACAGGTGCTCAGTGCTAGGTGATGGGCAAGGGCTACCACAGAGGAACGGACAAGTACAAACTAATATTCTTAATTTCAAGAAATTTCAGCTAAAGTCTACATTTAAATAGTTTCTTCTCATACTTATTTCAGTTTGTCACAAAACTTGTACCAATTGTTGTCTCGTTTGTACCAATCATCTATTTTCCAGGCTTATGTTTAGTATTTTATTTAAATTATAATACTGCCAGTTATTTTATGCTGGGAATAATTTGTAATAAATGTTAAATTGTGATCACTACAAGATAAAAATCTAGCTTGAAAGAGATTTTTTTAAGACCTAAATCACTTCATCAATGAAAGGTGATTTAAGTTCAATTTTTATTGTCTAAAGACAATAGTTTTGGTAGTAAAATTTCCTACAACCCAGTTCAACAATCTAAACTTTTAAATAGAATTATATCAAAACATTCTATTATTCAGAATATATTTTAGGCACACTCAGTAATCTAGATGATTGAAAATAATGACCATGTGCAATAAATATCTTTCTTCTCACTAAATCATAGAGCTCTGAATGATAACTATAAAATACAATTCAGGATGAAGATTGGATTTACCTGTTTATAGGTAAGGTATGTTCTAGTGATCTTGTTTCACACCAGGAACTCTTTTGAGGTTCCGCATATAGAAGTGATGACTGGCAATGGATCGCTAAAGGAGAGAGATGCCCAGGAGTTGGCCACAACACATTTGAACTTGTGGTCTGTCGACCAGGCCCGCCTTCTGAGTTATTGGCACTACTGGGAATACTATAATTCACCACAGTAGGGCTGTAGAATGTCATGGCCGAATATTCATGGCGGCTCTCCACATAGGAAGAAGGGATGTATATGGGGCCGTGCTCCAAGGGCAGGATGGGTTGACTGCAGTTGTAGGAAGCAGGAGAGTCCAGGCTCGATGGTGAGTTTTTTATATCCATGTCTTGAATAGGTAATAGCTGAGAAAACTCCTTGTGAGAAGAGGCACAAAGGGACATTATAATGTCCTCAATGTCTCACAGGCATATGCAATGTCTGCAAAGAAAAACAAGACATTTTTAAGTTAGAGCTATACCTATTTTTTTAAGTTAGAGAATAACTATTAATAGTATTCACACACTTTTATTACACACACACTTGTATGAGATGACAAATATTAACCTCAGAGGAATGGAACTCTATTTACTTTTTATTGTTTTTGTTGTTGACTATATGAATTTTCTTTACTGTGAGAATTTGCTATAAAATACCTTCTAAAATAAAAAAAAAATACAAGATTAAATGAAAATACCAACAAGGGTTTTGTTGGGTTTTTTTTTTTTTTTTGGATCTAATTAAGGTCAATGGAAAAAATAATCAAGAAAACCCTAAAAGAGCAGATCACTGAGTTGGGCTAGCATTCACAGGTATTTAACTACATTATAACTACTAACAGTAAAATACAAGGAAAAGACAGACGAATGTAACTGTCTCAGTTATCAATTTAGTGCCTCAGTTTTGTACATTCCCTTCAACATATGCTCTATGAGGAGCAGCAAAATCCTTTACTGTGAACACACTGTTAAACTTTCTCCAGACAAGATGCTGCAGGAACACTGCAGGAGGAAGACGTTGCAATGATCTCTGGCAAGGACAGAAGTTAGTGGTTTTATGTGAGAACATCCAGTGAAGCCTGTACCAACTACATCCAGAATGAAGTCTCTCTGCAAACTTGCAGTTTCAGTGTGCCAATAACCTTTCTGAAGTCACCTGTCCAGACTGTGTCCAGAAGAGGTGTTCTTCCAGCAAGACTTCTCACCCTGAACTTGCACACACCAGGGTGCCTGGACTCCCAGGGCATACCCTGGGATGCTGACAACCATCTCTGCGTCTGTACCCTGAGGATAGCTTGTTGCTTGCCCAGCAACCACAAACCAGCTCTGCCCTGGTTAAATCAGAGAACATCTCTGCTAATTAGTGGCAGAATCACTTCCCCTGGCTGAGAGAGATCTTAAATCACAATGAAAAAAGTCCAAAAATTAAATAGGCAAATAGGCAAAAGACATGAACAGATAGAAGACAGAAAAAAGAAGGCAAGTGGCTCTCAAAACACTTTAAAAAGATGTTGGACCTCCTTCATGCAAGATACAAATTAAAACTACAGCAAAGTACCATTTGTCACTTACCATGTTTGGCAAAAATTCAAAAGAACAGACTCCCTTGGTGAAGCTGAAGAAAAATGGGGACTCTTCTGCATTGATGGTGGGAGTGCAAAATGGTACAACCTTATGGGATTTAGCAATACAGCTGTAAGGGCAGGAACAGGCACAGCGCGGGTTTTCTGACCAGAGCAGATGGGGTAAAGGAGGAGTCCTGGAGCCCTCTGTGGCTTTTTCAGGCTTTTGTTGGGATTACCAGGTACACGGCAGGCAGGGGTGCTGGTGCAGGCAGCAAGTCTTCACTCTTTCTGGGCTCTCCAGCGTTCTCTCTGCTTCTCCTTCTCTTCTCACGGTTCTGCTCTCCTGGCGTCCCCGTGACACCGCCCTTATAAGCCCAGCCTTAGCCCAGGTGTACCCACTTACACATGCCCACACCCTACTCCAGGTGCCCACCATCAGGCATGCATTCAGGACCACAAGGATCCATCATCAATCCTAATGGTGGGAGGGCAGAAAAGCCTGATACTTTTTACCAGACCCCACAGTATGTCTCAAACTCTATGTTTTACTTCACAAATAATACCCCATCCCTGCCAGATGACATATGTTGTCACCATGGAAGAATTGGCACATGTCTTTCAAAGTCAGCATTCCGGGACTAAGATCACACTCCACCTGCCCACCTCTCCCCGCCCTTTTAAGCCCAGTCTCTCAGCACAGGTGTATCCACTTACACATGCCCACACCCTACTCCAGGTGCCCGCCATCAGGCATGCATTCTGGACTGCAAGGATCCATCATCAACCCTAATGGTGGGAGGGCAGAAAAGCCTGGTATCATTTATTTACCCTACAACAGCAAAATTAGATGTGCTTTTATCTTTGAACTATGACTCCATAGTGGCATTAAAAAGAAAAACATTTGCTGCCATTGTAAGTGATTACTAAGTTTCTCACTCTGAAAATCAGCAATTAAGGGAAAAGAAGCCTGTACTCTGCCTTTTTAGGAGGATCTGTAATTTTTCCCAAGGTCTAAGGGAAATTCTTCTTTATAAAGAACGCCACCCAATAAATAGTTCAAAAATATTTGGAAAGGTAAATTAGATATCTATATACATAGACCAGTGTAGAGTAAATGGACGTTATCAAGTTTTTTTCCACCCTCCCGCCATTAGCATCAATGATCAACACCTGTGGTCTTACATGCCTGATGGTGGGACCTGGAGTGGGGCATGGGTGTGTGTAAGTGGGCACGCCTGAGCTGAGAAACAGCCTATAAGGACAGAGTGGCAGAGGACCGTGTAGCAGAGTACAGTGAAGAGCAGTGGAGAGCGTCAGACAACAGCTAGGAGAGGAAAGAGCATATACGGATTCACAGGGGAGCCCAAGTTGCTGTCTCCCTGCTGGCTTGTGTCCCCTGACCTGTGGGGATGATGCCAAGAGCTCCAAGATTCTCTTTCAAGCTGCCTGAACCAGTGATGGACCTACCCAGCCTGGGATGGTTGTGGAACAGCTAGACAGTAAAAACAAGTAAAAATGTTAACAATTACTGCATTTAGAAAGGGGACATATGGACACTCATTCATACCAGACTTCACTTTTCTGTAGGTTTGAGGGTTTTTTCATCCAAAAGGGAAGGCTTGTTATGAAAAAAGGGACAGAAGAAAAAAGGTGGGCAGAAAGAGCTGTCTCTGAAAGTTTTGCTAAAAGAGAGGCCTGCAGAGTCACAGGTGGGTACTGTGAGATTAAATAAAAAAGGTTAGAAAACTGGAATAACATGATCTAGAAAAAAGAAATAATGACAATTAATAATGAGACTGATTCAGAGAGATTATTCAGTAAAGAAAATTGTCTTAAGTTCTCCATCTTCGATATTTCAGCTCTAGCTGTCACCTACTTCCATATGTAGGCAACATGGTTCTCTAAGCTCCAATTCTTTCCTCTGACATTTTCATGTGAAGCCGTGTTTGTCCTCAAAACACAATATATCTATGGAGGTTTTAAAGTAAGTACACAAAGTCTTCAACTCTCCTCCCTCCAAAAGTGGAGCCTAACCTCCCCCTTGCTTATGGGTTAGATTCAGTGGCTCACTTCTCATGAATAAAGTAGTAACTTCTAAACTTTTTAAAATTTTGGTATATATAAAATTAATCATCTTAATGTTTTGAAGAATACAGTTCAGTAATGTTGATACTCACACTGCTGTCCAACCAATCATTTTGCAAAACTCAAACTTCACACTATTAAATAGCTCCCCTATTTCTTCCTACCTTTAGTCCCTGGAAACCACCATTCTACTTTCTGTTTCTATGGATTTGACTACTGATTACCTCACATAAGTGAAATCATACAGTATTTGTCTTTTTTGATTGACTTATTTTGCTTAGCATCACAACTTCAAATTTCATCCAAGTAGCAAGTATCAGACTGTCCTTCCCTTAAAGTTGAATAATATTCCATTGTATGTATACACCACATTTTGTCTCTCAAGGAAAGATTTTTTTTTAGTTTTTTAATATATTTATATAATTCTTACATCATTTTTCATTTTTGCACAATGTATGCATTTTTGTTTTGGTTTAATTTCCCCATACAATTTGCACCTCCCTTATTTTGACCCTAATCCCTCCTCTCCTCACCATCCCCCCCTCCACAGTGTCTCTGCTTTATAGTTGCTTGTTGATTTTGATTTTGTCTTTATTATAATTAGTCTTTTTCCTGGTCCCTTATTTAGGTTTTCTAAATTCCTGCTATGAGTGAGACCATCCAATATTTTTCTTTTTCTTTCTGGCTTATTTCGCTGAGCATGATCCCTTTCAGCTCCATCCATGTTGCTACAAATTGCATGAGTTTATCTTTTTTGATTGCTGAGTAATATTCCACTGTGTATATGTACCACATCTTATTGATCCAGTCTTCTATTTTTGGGCATTTGGGTTCAAGGAAAAATTTTAAACAGCGATGCTTGAAACCATTTGTAGAACCATAGTAATGACCTAGGTTAAGATGGTCTCACTTGGGCCTCCACTGGTGGCATAGTGGTTGAGCGCTGGGCTGTGAAGCTGCCCACAGCCTCTGCAGCGCCGGTTCGATCCCCGGCCGCCAGTGAGGGTCCCACATGGCACGACAGACCTCTCCTGCCATGCCCGCTGCTCCCCTCAGCAGTGTATTTCATCGGTCTGCCTGTTCTGTTCCCCACTCTGGCTCTGGTGAATTCTCTCACCCTCCCGCGCTTCTGACCGTACCCAGTGCTTGTATAAATAAATAAATAAATTTTAAAAAAGAAAAAAAAAAGATGGTCTCACTCATAGCAGGAATTTAGAAAACCTAACTAAGGGACCAGGGAAAAGACTAATTATAATAAATTAAAAATCAAAATCAACAAGCAACTATAAACCAGAGACACTACAGGGAGGGGGAGGAGGGAGTAAGATAAAAAAGGGGATGAGAATTATATGGGGGCTATAACCAAGATGAAAATGCATACACTGTACAAAAATGAAAAATGATGTAAAATACATAAAATTTTAAAAATAAAAAAAAAGAAATGACCTAGGTTAAAGCAAGTGGTTGACTATAGGAAAGACCAAAGGAGTTGGTTATTAGGTCATTGATAACCTTTAGATGGCAGCTCCAGGGCTGACAGTATTGCTATCCTATTTCCACCAGTCCTATTTCAACCCACCTAGATACTCAGCCGCCCACTGTTCTTATCCTTTTGATGTTGTCTTGGCAATTGTATTTTAGTACACTACTTTTGCTATATGATCTGAACATTTCTTACTAGCCAAATGCAGTTTAACAATACAATTTAAGGGGCCTCCCTGGTGGTGCAACTGGTTAAGACGCAGCACTATGAGGCTGCCCGTAGCCACTACAGCATGAGTTTGATTCCCGG